CGTCAACTTCGTCCAAGATATACTGTGTCAACTCTGCTTATAAACCAAAGCATGTATAGATTTAGAATAATTTTATTGAGAAGTTGTGACATAGATGGAAAAGTGTTGGGAGTTTCTATTAATTTTAATCTTACATCGACACATTTTCCGGTAAAGAATCAATGTACGAGGTTATAGATTTTTAGTATAATTAAATAAATATATTAATTGCGTCTTTGGAAATGAAATAAGAAACTTTTGTTCTGTATCCAATGGTCAGGAAACGAAAAGGAAGAAAGAAATGGAATGATTTGAAGCTTCTATATCGATCAATCGTGAAGCTGAAGGGAGACGATGTTTTGCAGGATGGTCAAAGCATTGCATCCTGCCTAATTACAAGGGGAATCGGTTTCGCGGTGGCTTTCATAAGTACGCCGAACGGGGTGTCACTATTAAAAATTCCCGGCACGAGAAATCGATAAAAAGCGAACCGATCGGTTCTGCGGGGTATCAGCACCGATTCGCGCGACAATTAATGGCCAACGGACGGAAGTGGTCGCTTTATGTTTTCATCTTGGCCCGTCCGCCACGGCGTTAATTACTTGTCTTCTTTTATCCGAGGGACAAAGATCACAGTCGAGCCGCGATCACGATGTCTCGTTCGAACAAACGAGCGTTTTATTTTATTCTCTGAACCTACTCTTCCATCCCTTCTACCGTATCCAATGCGTTCGAGTTAATTTAAATTTATTTCTTCATTTTTTTCCTTTTAATTATCCAAATTTGAAATATCATTTCTGCAGCGAAATTCCAGAGAACGTAATCTCGCGCGATGAATTCTAAGAGCGAAAGAATTCACGAATTTCCTTCGTGTCGAAGAATTTCTTGATCTGCCGCAAGAGAAAAGTTAAAGGGGAGAAAGGAAAGAATTGTCTCCCTTAATTAATAATCTCACTTCTTTCGTCACATTTATATCCAGCCAGCACAGTACACGGTTTTCATTTAGCGCGAGTTTCTTCGAGCCCCGTGGCAGCCGTGGTGCTCGTTGAATTTTCATTCGGAGCGCACGTCGAGCAAAACGAATAAAGTAAAACAAGCGGACGACGTCGCGGAAGGAACTCGAGCAACCCTCTTGATATATGTATTTGCATTCATCTAGTACGAAAACCTGTACACCAACGTCCGTGATACGTACGTACACGCCGCTGCTGGAACCGCTTTACCCCTCTTATTTTCATGGATTTACGCTCAACGAGAACGCCCGGCATTATTATACGGGTCCTGGACCTGCTTGCTCGATAACATTATTAAACGTTTCGCCAACGGTAGCTAGTTTCTGCCAGGCGAATTCTTGTGGATTTTTACGTAATTCCTGTTTTCATTTGTTTCTTGCACGAATCGGTTATTTGCCTCCTCAATCATGCAAGGGTGCAACACGAATAGAGTTAAAACAAAGAACTTAAGTGGCCCGTAATAAATAACTCAAACTCTTCAAAAAAAGACAAAGAAATTAAAAAAGAAAAAAGAGTTCCACAAACGTTCGAGGGTAAACATTGTCGAAAACCGCGTTCCCTGGAAGCAGGATAGCGCCCCCGTAGTTGTGGACAAAGAAACAACGAGTCCCCTTCTCGAAATTATCCATCGCGGATGAATAATCCTTCATCGACGAGCCTTCAAAGGCAACGACAGCCGGCTCTGTCGGAAGCAATCAAAAAGATCCAACACTTGCCCGGTCGGGATGGCTGACTTTCAATCCTCATCCTCTTCGACATCCTCTTGGTCGTTGTCGTTCCCTCTGTCACCGATAAATCTCGTCGTTTTGGATTTCGTCGTATTAAGGGAAGGATGCTGAGGGAGTCTTTTCTCTCACGGCCGAAAATAATACCAGGAACGGGGCCTTTGGCGGTGTTAGCCAGCGCATAGCGCCGGCGCCTGCGTTTTTGCGACGCGTCCCGTCGCCGAAACGCCTGCTCTCCAACGACGCCGCGACGACTCCCTCGTTCCTGCTCTTAGCCGCATACACGGGTAAAATATATTTCTGCAACATGCGAGAATTACTTGCGCCGTTCCTCGGGGTGGATATGGTAGACGGGGAACCTGGTTTTCATATAAATTCGAGCCACGCTTCTTGTCAAACCTTTTCGGGCAAATTTCTGTTAAAAATAGGGGAAAAACGATTGAAAGGGTTTCTCAGCTTCAAGAATTTTGAAAGAATTTTTTGCTAATTCGAGGGGTTATGGATTTTGACAAAGACAAATTAATAGAATAAAAAGAATCATCCCCCTCTGCGAATCGTCGACGGAATCCGTTAAAGTCGAAGGTCGTCCAAGCAAAATTGTCGATGCAAGGGAGGAAGAAACGAAGAATTAATATCCCTCGCCCCGTATAATCTTCCCCGTGACGACCTGGCTTTTCCCTGAACACCGGAAAACGCGAACCTGTGAAATTAAAAATTCATCCGGCTCGGTTAAAGAGGGCGGAGGGCGTGTACCTGTCGTTGGTGAAAAATTGGCGGGCATTTATTTTCTCGTTAACGGGGCACCGGCGTGTCCTGCTCGTGTCCCCGTGACCCGATACTATTAATTTCCTCCTGTTCCTCCTTCGAGGACCAACGAACCAGCGGGGCGTAATGAAAAACTTGGACGCAGGATGTTTTTAAGGGGCGATTTCACGCAGCATGGTATTTTCATACTGTACAATTATACGCTTCCTTCTTAAATAAAACTTCTTCGATTCTTCTTCTAAAACTAACGTCAAAGTGATGTTTTTCGCATCGAAACGCGCGAAGTCATCGAGGAGACTTTATTGTATAGAATTGAAACATCGAAGGATTGTCGAATAGAAACAGCCGGTAAGGAATAAGTACTTGATCACACCCCGTGCAACTTAAAATAAACACGTTGGTAGCCGCAGAAAGTCGGCTCCTTTGAATTCCACCGTCTGCCATTTCCTTCGTTCGACCGCAAGCGGTGGCAGGCTCGCGTTTACGCGGTCGTTCGCCACGGAACGCGCCATACCCAGCCGGAAATCCGTTCGAATTCGTAGAAACGTGCGTGATCCTGCGCGACGATGAACCACCGCACTATACTTCCGGCTACGAAGGACTTCGTTCACGAATATCGAAGAAATAACGAGAATTCAAGGTATAGGAGGACTAATCTTAAGAACCGAAGAAGATGGGAAAGTATCGAGTTAGAGGGACCGGAAGTCATCGTACTTCCGCTATCAAGGATCAAAATGGTATCTGAAGTTACAAATTAATAACTCGATTTTCTTTTTGAAAATATTTTATTTTGAAAATTATATTGCGAAATTTCGATTCCATTGTTTCGTTGAAGTCCAGAAGTCTAATTAAAAATAGGTTGCACGATAGCCGAGAGAAGTCCTCGAACCGTGACTATCTGAAATCGTGTCGGTCGCGTGGTGCCATTTACAGAATGACGCACGATGCAACCGCGGCATTAAAGTAATGTAAACGTTCAATTAACACCCGTGATATATCATTACCCTGTCCCCGTGTAAACACAGAGCAGCGTTTTTCTTTTCCACCGCCTCGATTCCGACGGATTCTAACCCTCTGTCGGTTCTTTCTACGCTATTAATTTGTCGTTGCTCTATTCCATCTTCTCGTTTTCCCCCTACTTTTAACGTGATCATTAACCGTGTACTATCGCGTTCTATCTTGTTTCGAAACAACATATCTCTTGGTGATTTATTCCTTAACGCTAGAAAGAATCGGATAGGAAGAACGATCGTAACTTGCCACGTTCCGTGCATAAAAATGGCACGTCGTGGGTGGAAATTTAATTTAAAAATCAGATCGTACAAAATATAGTAACATCCAGATAAAGACAAGAGCCTCTCCGGTGGTTCATTGTTTCCGGATGGCGGATCGAAGGGTGCACACGCAACTCGTTGCCATCTGCGCTTCCTCGTCGAGAAAACGGCCACCGCATCGCGTTGTTCACCCGACGTAATAATAATGGTCATAGTTTCGTTGGCCAAGCGACAGCCGTGCTAGGACAAAGGGCCGGCATGACGTTCTTGCGGTTTTGCGGGCGGATAGCGGCCGCTGTTTTGTACGCTGCCGAATTTTCGGATCGGCCTGTCCAACCCTCGCTTCCTCCAAGACCGCATTCGCACTGTCCTCGAATTACAGAAGAAACTGTTTCCTTCCACTTGCATTAATTAACAGCAATCAATTCGATGGTTCTTAAAAATTTTTAGAATTTTTTCTAAGAGAAAAAAAGATCCCCTCCATTTGCAAATTCAACCCGACAGATGATAATAACGATTATGCTGTGAATTATTGAACGATACAAGAGGCAGAGCAGTTAATTAAAACGGCGCTGGTCAATTCTGCACCGACGTTAATTACCATCGATTAATTATTTACAAATATCCATCCGTCAGGCAAAGAGACAATCAATGATCAGCCTTCAATTTTATCATCGATTCGAACGAATTCATCTTTTTGTACCTATTGGATTTTATATTTTTCGAGTCTAATTCTTTTTTTAATAATTTTGTTATTGCCTGCATTCGTCACTGTTTAACGTGCACGTAAATGCAATCGCGTGGGTATTTTCGCGTTTCGCTTCGAAAAACGGGGTGGCCGACAAGTTGGAGAGGGAAGGCGCGTTTCCGGGACGATTAACGGGTGTTCCGGGCAAACGGTGTTTTGTAAACACCGTTGGAAAACGTTGTACACGCCAGTGTGACAGGGGTGAAACGATGGTGGTCGAAAAATTTGAATCAGAATGGCCCGCGCCATATTGTCCTGTTTTCTATCCGGACTTTTTCAGACGAATCGCTTTGTTGAAACGGCCAGCTCTGCTTTCATTCCATTCACCCTTTCGTTTTTGTTTATTTCATTGGTGTAACACCTTTTTGTGTAGAGTATTTTGTTACTCAGCGGATTTGTTTCAACGAAGAGAAACATTTAAACGAATTTGTTTCTTTGTCTCGCAACAATTGTTCAAATTTCTCCATAGTAATTTGTAGAAATCTTTTTGTTTCAGCCTGAAGCTGCTTCCATTTCGTTGGAGTGAATTCTGAAGAAATGGCAAGTTTCCTTAAGGGCTGCTACGTGGAAGAAGCTTCCATGGTGCCCCATGGAAATTACGCGGTGCTGCTTGACCGTAACTGCGGCCGATCCAACGGCCTTCGTCGTTGCCCAGCACACTGACCAATTTCACTGGAACCACTATGATCGGTGGTGCACCGGACCATGTCGAATAGTCGCTTCTTTTGCCACGCGGATGTCGTGGAAATAAGTATACGTGGCCGATCCGACGAGGAGGTTCGTTACCGGTTAGCCACCATGAAATTCCAACTGTACGATTCCTAATGAACGCCCTTACTGCTTCTTTCCTGTCGTCTAATTCGTTCCTCGCGTTTCCGTCCCGGTCATTCATCGACCCCCGTGCGAACAACTTTAACAGTATTCTATATTTTCAGTCGAATTACTTTCCATAGGAAAAAAAAAACAGGGGGAGCCTTTCGTATTCGAATTCGCTTTCCTTCGAATAGGGTCCAGTTTTTCCTCGACAGTTTTCCATACGAGGAGCCACCCCTTCCGGTCGAGGAGCCATCGATCACTGACAAGACCCAGCCACGATCTCCTTTCGCTGTTTTCTTCCTACGGGGGAGAGAAAAAATCGCTGGCCGGTCCAAGGTACGAAAGAAAGGAGGATGAATGAGGAACAGCTCGGAGCATGCCAAAACGCACGAGCTTCAGCGACCCGTGAAACTCTCGTAAATTGTCGATTCATTAGCGGACCATGGGAGGGAAAAAAGGCTGCTCTTCTCGGCGTTCGCTTTTTTCGCCGCTCCACCCCCTTGAATATCGAATTAAACAAGCCGTGGCCAGCTTCTACTTATGGCGTTCGCATTAACTCTGTCGTATTTCTTCGTTCGTTGCCCTTCTTACGACTCCTACGTACAATTCCGTGACTCTTCCGAAATTACTGCTTTATGGTTTCTTCATTACGGTTCGAATCAGGTATAAATTGCTGTGAGATTAACCCGGGTTGGTTCTGATTAAACCAATTTAACGGATGAAATTTTTGCTAAGGTTCAACCTGTTATGTTTTATTCGACCAGGATTTAAACAGCAGTTAGTTACCCTGCAATTTATACTTTTAATAATGGAAACGAAATGAAGAAATCGCGCGTTCCGTTTGACTTCTTCATCGATCACCGAGGAGACAAACATGCCGCCGGTCATGAAAACGCGTTCAAAACGGCACAATACGGCCGTTAACGCCACCAGGGTGGTTATTGTCGATCGCCGGTACAAGGCAACGATAATGGCCTATTTTGACAGCGAGACGGCCGGAATCGTCAAAACAGTAGTACGCCTTCATTGTTGCCCGACGCAGAAAGGCCGAGTATGCGGGGGTGGCGAGGAAAAATAAATCATGCCTGACCGACTGACGGCCGGTGGCACGCAATCATCCCCCTGCAAGCGTGTCGGCCAACAATGACCATTGTCCAGACGAATACGCGGCCACTCGAAATGATCTCCGGTCACAAGTCATTACCTTTTCATTTTAAAACCACCCCCTCGGATACCAGCAGCCGCTGTTCACCCGCTGAGCGCTAGAATTTGGGGGGTGAGTTTTGAGATAATGCAACTGGACATCGTTCGATACGCGTTGTTCGGGAACATTGTAAATCTGAGAAAAATTTGAATTTTCTCGTCGTCCAATTAACGCGACCCCCCGTCGTAAATTTCGAAACGTAAATCTCACGCCGAAATCGCTTAATTTCCATTCTGGAAGGACACCTAAGAAGGTATCCAGGATTTCTCGCGAGGATCGTTAAATGGAGGACATGGAAAGAGTATCATCGGGAGGGAAGATGTTCGGTCGGATGATTTATGAACGGCGGGGGGTCGAAATAAGGGGCGAGGATGAGAATCCCTGACGTAGCAGAGACAAAAGGACCCCCCGATACCAAGTTAGGACGGACTGTCTGTCGTCGGGCTGTCAGTGACCGTCTGCACGGTGCTTTCGTATAATCCACGAGCGAGCAACGGCTCGGTTATAGAGACCAGGCTCCCTCCGAGACGGAGGCGCCATCTTAGTCTGCATTCCATTGTTTTAGATGATTCATACGCGGCTCCGGCCCCGGAGGACCTCCTAATTTATTAGTTTGAATATCGAGCAGAGGAGCCACGGGGCCCGCGACGAGGAGAAAGAGGACGGACCAGACCTTTGGGCCAAAGAATGGCGAAGGGCGAGAGGAACCGACTAGCTGGGTGGCCGGGGACCGTCTCTTGTTTATACTCCCCTCCCCCGCCCCCTTTACCCTTCCTCATCTTCTCATTCTTTCTTTCCACATCGTTCCGCTTCTTCTTTTCCATCTTCCTTCGAAACTGCTCCTTCGCCGAGCGGTTTTCGACCAAACTACCCCCCTCCCCCTCTTCGTCCTTTTACTTTTGCTACTCTGATGAAGAAGCTATGGAAGATTTAGAGAAACGAAAGGATATATTTGAACTTGGATTTTTCAAAGAAAATTTTCCACGCAAATGATCCTAATTATGTAATTAATCAATGGTTATTTGTTAATTTGTAGCTTCTAAGAAGGGAATCATCGTTATGCTAATACCACTCTAATAATACACCATGTTTTCCCTTCGATCGGCTCCGTTCTCGGTAGTCGGCTGCTTTTTCCCGAGGATTTGAATGTTAGACAGTCGAATCACGTACGGCAGGTGTGCCACGGATCCATGGAATAGCATTTTGTTCCATGAATTTCGCGGGGGAATCGCGTGGACAGCCGAGTAAATCGAAAGGAACACCGGGGAAGAGAATTTACATAGCGCGACGAAAAGCATTCCGAGGATACTTTCTCTTCTGAACTATTAAAAAGTGTCCTGAAGAAAATTACTTTCCACTTTTCAAACGATACGAGACATTGAATCGTGCCACGTATCATGAATTTTACGAAAGGTCGACAGAGAAACGACCGGTACTTTTGGGACCAGCTGGAAAAAACTTGGTTCTCCGGTCTTGACTCGCTACCATTGACCAACTGCCTTCATTGTCGCTGAATTAGCCCCGTCGTTCTCTCTTCTACTTTAGCCTGAAGGTTTACGCAGCCGTTTACGAGCCACGGTCCCCATTACCCTCCGCCATCAGGCCCCATTCAAGTTTCGCTTCTGCCACTATTGCCCGACCGTGGCGGCGGTGTATCGTGGGCCTAGTTTTCATTCATCTCCAGTCCGCTGATGGCCCCGTTGACCTCGACCAGGACCCGAGATGAATATTACGTCGGTCGTGCCGCTCGTAATACGCCCTCTCCGTTGCCTCCCTTCTTCTTCTTCCTTTTAACCCTTCTCCCTCTATCGTTCCTCTTATACCACGATCGTCCTCCTTCTTTCACGTTCGCTGCTTCACGACCAGCCAGCCACCTTGCTCTGCTCTTTCTTTCTTTTTTTTTTTTTATTATTTTTATTTTTTCTTGTTCTTTTACTAGGCGCGATCCGGCTGAAACGTTCCCATAAGATGAGTATCTGGATACGTGCCGCGGGGCCAAATCGTTTGACGGAAACCGCGCTCCTCAGCCTTTACCCTCTTCTGCTAGTTGGCTTGTATTTTTGATGCGACTATGTGAAATTTGGATAAATTTTATTTTTCCCTTTTGGACCTTTTAATTGGAGGCGTTTTAAATTTAAAGAGGAAGGTTTACAAAATTATTTTGACAATGTTATAAGGGAAATAAAGGGTTTGTTTGGGAGAATTTAATTAGATTTATTAGAATTTTTGAAGAAACGGCTCTAAATGAGTAGAAAATTTTTGAAGCGAGAATTGAACTCGTTTGAAATTCTCGTGGCCGAGAAAGCGTCGCTCGCGAGCAGAAATGAAATTGTGGAGACGTAAAATGATACGGCGGTGACTCAGGACACGCGAAACCGCTGAATGGAGCACGTCGGCCTCCAAAGTGTGGGAATCCTTCTTTTTCCTAGCGTATTTCAACGCGGTGTGCTCTGAATTCAAATAGACGGGAGGATACGCGGCGTCTCGGCTTCCTTCGGCTGCAAAAACTTCTCGTATCGCGAAACACGTACGAACGTCGCGTCGTCCTTTCTCGTCCGGAAAGAAGGTGCGCGAAACGAAAGAATTTTATAATTCCTCCTTCAATAACAGCGGTTCTTCACCTTTACCTCCGAAACTTTATTTCGTTTCTTTCTCGGAATTAATTCCAATACGAAATCCTTGATTTGGAGGTAAAATTCGAATTAATTGTTTCTTAATTTAAAAACAACAGTTCAGAACATTTTCCTCCAACCTTCTCTGGTAGTATTATGTAAATTTCCTCACTAACACTTTTACTTCATCCTCCATACATCCCGGGGGGAAGAAAGAAGGAAAAGAAACTAGCTCTACTTGTAGTCTGAAACATCCCCTAGATGAAAGGGTGCCGATCGCGTGCTAATTAAAGGAGAATAAAAAAGAACTATCGGCGGCAAGAGTTTCGCTTGGCCATGTCAAAATACACAAAGAAAAAAAAAAAGGGGTTGCGAGAGGAGGATTACACTCCGGACAAGGGTGGGCTCCGCGAGAAAAGGGGCGGACGGGGGTCACGAGGAGGGCAGAAAGGGAGAACAACCCCCTTCGTTAGGAGACGAGGCGAGTCCTGAGAGGTACGGCAAAGAGTGATGCACTCGACGAGGCTTGCATCCCCTAAGTCACGATGAAAAAAACATGGCCGACAACTCGAAAGGTCTGCCATCGAATTCATTATCGACTCTCCGCCCCCCGGAGGCGATCAGCTTCCTTCCGCTAACAGACATCCGTCACTGAAATTTCTTCTTCATTTTGCTTTTTTTATTTCGTTCCTTCACGATTTTAATTGCAAATTGAAAAATTTCACAACGAAACCATTTGCGTTGCAAAATAAGGGTATTTGTTATTTGTTTGTCTGTTCGAAAGAGGAACAGGAGAGGATTTCTCGGTAGAATGATTGATTGGGATAAGATATTCGTTTTGCGATGCTCATTTGGTGAGAAGTAGGGTATTACATGTTGTTTTTTTCATGAACTTTCATAGTGGGACTGGAAATAAACATAATTTAAAAAATGTGGATCAGAAGAGTTTCGGGAGAAGAAAGAATTGGTGTTGAAAGATGATGAAAAATTTTAACTATTGTTGAATTCCGAAGAATTTCCACTATAAAGGTAAATAAAACAGCAACGGAGAAGGATCGAACATCATTAGGCCATTATTTCTCTCGCGTTGATTGAACGGTCTCCACTTCTTGGTTACATTTTCCTAATAAGTAACAGCTATAAATCGATCGAATTACTTTTGCCCATTTCCAATGATTCATAATACTTCTTTCGAGACCTCCTGCGAATCAGACCGTGGAAACGTGCAATGAATCTTCGCCTTCGGAGTGGTCTCCTCTGGCGAAGGGGCTGGTCGTGTCTTTTGCGCTTAATTCCAGCTACCTTTCTGGCAGATGCGGTCGTTTATGGTCACTCGGGTCCAAGTATTACCAATTATCGTGATACGAGCTGGTTCGATACCCAGGAACACGATAAATCAACCCAAAGGACTTCCATTTTCCACCCTGATTTATGCCTTCATCGCAGAGACACGAGGATAGATTCAAATTTTCCTGTCATTTAAACTAAATCAACAAGAAACAAAATTATTATTAAAGAATTATATAATTCTTATTAAAGGATTATACCGAAGCAATTAATGAAAATTCAATGAGAATAATGAATTGATCATTTCCCTATCAAAACGTAGCCTGGAAACGTGGAAGGACTCTAGCAAAGGGTTGCGTCTTTGCGTTCTCGTAATTCCCTGTGGTCGATCGACCCGTACTCGTTTACGACCCATGTTCACTGGTCAAGTATTGCCAATTAGTCAAGTCGGCCCATCGAAGACGCTTCTGACCATGGTCTTTGCGAGCTGGCTCGCATGAATAGCCTGGTACCATTCATGGAATGCCATAGCAAGTGCATCGAGATTGATGTGTACTGCAAACAAGAAGCAGAATTCGATGAAAATTTGTTCGATCCTAGAAATCTTTCATCAAATTCCTTTTGATAAAAAGAAAAATAACTGATTATAAAACAATCATGATTCTATATATACAGACAGATGTGTATATTTATGTATAGACGTGAAATATCGCCAAAGGGTAGAGTAAAATCCCCAGAAGCTCGGAGCGGAAGCGATAAAAGGACGAAACAAGCTAGCAAACATCGAGAACACGGTCTTGTCCGGCGAGTCACGAAGCCGTCTCACCACGTACAACATACAAGGTTGGAAATCCCTTCATCGGCGATCCTTCGCCCGTCTCTGTCCCAGGTTTCGCAATCAAGCAGCGTAGGCCGGTCAGTTTGTTCTAATCAGTGCTGACCGCGAGCTGGCTAACTCAATCAGCTAACGAAGCTAATTTTGCACGGTGGAACCGGCCAATCGTTGCTCGACCGGGTGCCCGGTTCACCTATCAACAACGATCCCGGGCCACAGCAAACACCTAATCCACCGTCGTTCCCATGGGAGGAACTGGTACGAATCGGTAGCACGATCACGTGGACCGAAGACGAAAGAATATGCCGCTGGTAAACTATCCACGATTCTACTGATTCGAACAAATATGTACAGGGATACGTGAACGAGTGTGATTCTGACCTCTGGTTACTCGCTTTTCTCCAGTTTCGACAATTGTTCAGAGGATTTCAACCATTTCATCAGAATCGTTTCTACAGTCTCGAAATGATCAATTCCTTAATGATAATCACAGATCATCTCAATTATGTAATATCTTCATGGAAGATAAAAAGATATAAAAATAAACGACGACAGCATCAGCAATGGCACGATTGGGCCGATTTGCATGCGTGGCAAACGAGCGCGGGCCTGGTCCTGCATAAATCCAAATTTGAGTACACAGGGAGGGGGGGGACAAGTCCTGCCGGTCGGCGGCGTCCTTTCATGTTGGATCATACTTCTGTTTGTCCCTCGAGGCTCCTGTTGTTCGCGTCCTTTCGGACTTCGCGAGAGACCAGCAACGACCCGGACGCGAAAAAGACGCGAGGACAGGAGGGGGTACCGGGGGCAAACGAGCGACGGGAACCCGGGGTTAAACAGAGAGAGAGAGAGAGAGAGAAAAAGAAACGAGTAAAAGGAGCCGTATTGTCCTGACAGGATCCGCAAGAATCGCCGACCGACCGCCGGATGTGCGGTCCCGGTACAAACGCGAAATCGTCTCTATGGGGCCATTCGAGCGGCCCTTTTCTTCGCCCGCAACCCCCTTCGATCGGACCACACCACCCCGTCGATCATCCTTCATGAATAGTTATGATATCGTTCTTGGTGAAACGACGCGATCCTATCGGCACCAGGACCACACATGATGACCGTGCGTTGATTGCTGTGTACGGTTGTTGTAATTAGTCGGACGAGACGAGCTCCTCCGGTAGCGTTTTGCTGATCGAGTTCGTATCGGAAGCCTTTTTGCTGGCCGGGATACGTCTTGCACGTGATTGACTTTTTGTTTGCATAGGGTGCAAGAAAAGTCTCGAGTGCACTTAATGAAGATGATAGAATCATTTGACTACAGGCAGGGAAATTATAATAGATCATCTAATCTATTAGTGCAGATCATTGGATTAAATAGATAGAGGGTAGTTTTAATTTTCTAAAAATTGCAGAACATCCATTAATAAAAAAAAATTATTAGATGAATTAAGGAATGACAATTTTATTATAATTAAGCTGCGATAGATATTTAATAGTTTTGGTAAAATTAATGAAGCTGATTTTAAATATGCAGAAAACGACCTCTTAATTTGTCCAAAGACTTTCACTAACCCGACAATTTCTCACGCGGCTTCTACTTGGGACCGGGTATCGACTTTTTCGATCGGCTTTCCAATTTCGTGCAAAATTCCAACGTTTCGCAGGTGCACGCGGCGGCGATGTAAGAAACCCGCAATTCCCGATGCTGTCCGTCGGTTTTTCTTCGCTCGTTCGTTCCTGATCCGTCGTGCCATAAATCAGCCTCGTTTTCGTGATACGTACGTGCGCGCCCCGTGAGAAACTAGAGCAGAACAGAACCGACCGGTGTAAGTATCTCGATTTCTGTGCCTTACCGCACTCTACACCTGTGTAATTCAAATTAGCCGATCAATTCAAAAACTTCCAATTTTAATCCAAACTGTAATATCTATTAATTTAAAATATCGGGATATCGGTATGGAAATTTCATGAAATTCTGTTATTTCATGAAAATTCTACAACTCGTCGGGTATTCAAGCAACGTCAGCAGGATCGTTCACGATCGGTATCGACGTCAACGATCGCATTAGAGTAGAAGGTAGAACACGGTACATCGTGTCAGTTTCATCATCGTGGTTCGTTGGTCCGCGTTGAAATGACGGTCACGATCGTGCGATATCCAGCATCGAGCTGGTTCTCGTCACCTGGTTCCTCGTTCGACGATCGGTTCCTCCCCCGTATTCTCTTCGCTCTGGGTCTCTCGGCCGCGTCTGGTATTCCCATGGCGATCCTCAGCCGCGACCTTTCACCGAATTTCGCCGTGTAAAGCCGAAAACGAGCGCGTTTAATAGCGGTCCGTGAACGCACGTACCCGCCGGCGCAGGATCAAAAGGATCACGTCGCTCCTACGCACGTCGCATCGTCCGGCTGCGGCAAGCTGATTCGTGATGGGCATGGGACCGATTGCATTATGCCCACCGGTTGCCTTCCCTCGGACAAACACGATGACCGACGTATTTCGATGCCCATCGCCTCGCCAAGAAAGATGATCCTGGACGCGAGTATTTTTCAGGACTCTTGTTTCCTTGGGAACTATTTTAAATGAAGACGAGTGAGAAATCTGAAATTGATGAAAGTAAATATTCTCTTAAAACGCCAACAGACTTCTATCAAATTCGATGGCACATCCCTCGAAGGTTTCTGATTAAATAAAGTCAACAGCTATTGTAAGGCTGTCCACGTTCGACGTTGCACCCCAGGACACGAGTTCCCTCGAGGTGGAACTGTCCAAGCAACTTTCCGTGCGCCAGCCACGGCTGCGATTAGCGTTAATATCGAAAATGGGCCGTCGAACGAAGCCTCGAAGGACGAGGGAGGATCCGAAGGGACGGAAACCAATCAAGGATATACGTCCGTCGTGCAGGCAAGGGTCCTGCTGCCGTGACCGCTAAGAGATTACTTACTTGACCTAATACCTCTACCGATCGGTTGCATCGCGAGACCTCGACCGGTTACACAACCACCACTAATCTATTCTCCCATCGATCCCCGGGGCGGAAAGACTCTAAACTCCCTGACGACACCTTCGCCAGGTCCTGAAAAGAAATAGACGCTCTTTTAACGATCGTGTAGATCTTTTTTTAAAGGGATTGACAGATGGGACGCTCTGTCACCGAATAATCTACGGTTATTTTTGTCAAAGAATTAAAGAAACTTTTGATAAGAGGTTGGCAAAAGCATCGAGCAAGCCGCGCGACATAGATCATCGTATCTCCGCAGGCGATCGCGACGACGGCGTCGAGAACGACGCAAAGAAGCAGCGTCGTGACGCGCTCGTACCTCGGTGCACCAGGATGAAACGTTTCCCAGGGAGAGACAGAGGAGAAAGGGTGACGGTTAATCTTATCAGATCGAGGGCGGCTTGCGAGGAGAGCTTCAAAGTGCTAGGCCAAGCCGAACCGACACGACTGCACTGTTAGCGATGGCTACTGTTTCCCTTCTGTCCAATTCAAGTATGATTCATAGTATTCCAAGTACTTTCCCAGTTGCATCATCTAAACAACAGGAAAACTAAACGACATTGTCTAATCGTTAAATATTGGGTCATCAAAGTTCATTTTGTGTCTCTTTTATGTTCAATAATTCAACTTTGTTCAACTTTGAACACATCTTTCTATGGTTACTTTAAATCTATCGCTACTCTGCGAGAACCCGGGTGATTCTAGGCTACCTCATTACCGTAATTAGAGCCTTGACGATGATCTCGACGCAACATCTCGTTGGGTAAACCGGTAGCTGCCGAAGAGGATTCGAGAAGAAAGAGTCGCGTGTCCAGATCGAGGAATCCTCGCGTACTTTAACTATCCCGCTACTTTCAAGCCGATAATTATTTCCACATATAATCAGCGAATAGAAAAATGAATTTCGTGTGCACGAAACTCGTGGAACGATGTTGGTGGTTCGTTACGCTGATCGACGATCTACCATCGTTTAGAATTCGATTAACGATCCTAGATGATATCGATGAACGCCGCTGGTAATTAATAAATGACGCGTCGATTCCGACGTTTTAATTGCGCATCGCGATCGATCGAAAGCGAAGTTGGATCCAATTATCCAACCGTTGATCTTGGAATAAATTGGTAAATGTCTTAAATGGCTACCAGGAAGTAGGCATAAATAGAGGATCCGTGGAAAGCTTGTCGAGTGAGTCGTTCTGGCGTAGAGGAACGGATCTGATGAGCGATCTGTTCGCTGATCGCGTCAAAGGACCCGGGACGATGATGGAAACGCGAAGGGTGGATGCGACACGACGCTCGACGTCGGCTCCTCGAATAGACGCTTCTCGGTCATCTCTATTTCCGTCGACGCTGTTCGGGAACCGTTGCGTCACGCACAGGACGCGCATACATACGTGAGCGAGTATCGGCAGATGCAAATAACGAGGATGACGATTAGCGTCCGGCGACCCGACGACCCCACGGCCGGTGGTCCAATTTGCGGCTGCTTTGTCCAATTACCAGCCATTAGCCATTACCAATGCTGGCGCAAGACTCCTACGCCGCTTCTAGCTTCCTCTCCTCACCTACGAACTGCCACCCTCCTCGTCCCTAGACCGTCTTCCATCGGCTCGAGCAATCAGTTAGTCCGGATCATTTGATATTGGAATATCGAACGATATCATGTTGAGTAGCATGAAATTTTCGCGGTAGCTTCGTTTAAAACCTGAAGGTGAAATTTCGATCACGAGAAACTGAAAATCAAATAAGTATTTTTTGATTATTATATTTAGACCAGGAGGAGTTTACAAGATAACAGTTTTATGGAAATAAAATGAGAGAGGATGTAGGTTCTCGCAGAATAATCCCGAGTCCAATATTCTCGGTTCATTAAAATGCCTGCTGGAAGACCGGTTAAACTATGAATGAGTTGCTGCCGCAATAATAGCGAAACAAGAAATAGAAATGCGCATCTATCTGGTTCCGTAAGTCGGTGGAGCGGTAGCCTGCCAGCTATCGTCGATTTGTCGCGGCCATTCTTACGGCCGCTTTCGAATAAGCGGAACACGGTGGGGGAGAAGCGGAGTTGGCACCGGTGGCCTAGGGCCGATTTGCATGCAGAACCACGGCTCGATCGCCGTAAATTGGATAAACCGGATAATCGGGCCGGATACGTGTTTTGGCTCGCGTTTGTGGCCGCGTTTTGACGCTCGATGGCAAATAGAAACCATTCTTCAGGGTGAAAATCGTCGCGGTATACGTTCGAGGTGTTTCCGTGAAACTGGAACGATGGAAAGTAATTCCGTTTTTGTTCTTAACATTCTGAGAACGAAACGACAGATATCGTGTAAATTTCTCGAAAGAGAAGAATCCAGTTATTCCTCGAACAAAGATCGACGAAGGTTTTACGAGGATCGTGGAGGGTGTTCGGTTCGTGGCAACAGTACGATTATCTCGTTTCCACGGAATGACCGGAGAAATGCTACCTTGGGAAACGAGGAGGTGGGCCTGGATACTCGAAGGGAGCGGCATAAAAATCGCGTCGAATTGCCGGTTACAGGCAGAGGCCGTGGGCCACGAAATTCGTTCGTCGCTCGTGGTGACTTGATTGCCGATCATTTTCGGTCGCCTTATCAGCCGCCCATCGTGGCTGTCGCCTCGAATACTGGGATTATCGTCATCCGATCCCGTCCTGTTCGCACCTTCCGTTTATTCGCTACCATGCGTGACCCACCCGGAATGAATTATTTTCGAAAATTAAGATTCGTTCTTCGCCAAAGTGATCATTCATATAATTTCAAGTCATATGTCCACGTTCAGGCGTCCAGTTTTCACGGATGACGAGTTTGGCGAACGATTTTGTGGGTCTGTAGGGCAGAGGGTAGGACGGACGTGGAAAGAAAGGGATAACGGAAGGCGCCGCGTTAATTTCACTTCGAAAAATCGTAAAATGCAAATGAACGATCGGCAGGACCCGGTTCGATTGGCAAATTGCGAGAGAAGGCAGCTCGGTTCCGCGCGCGCGACGGCGCCCAAGGTGGTCGAGTAATTTTCATGGTCTTCTCTCCTCGTCCCCGCGGTGCTGCTCCTCCTCCTTCGAGCGAGAACAAAACGAAAAGAAATAAAAAGAACGCGGAGAAAGAGAAACGAGAGAAGCTTGGAACGAGAAGGATGAGGAGCGTGCGCTTCGCCATTCAGTAGAGAGGAGTTTGGCTGCAGGACATAAAAATGTGTTGATTATATGTTGCCGCGGTTCCTCGAGCCCATGGTGTCGTTAAGAAAACACACGACCTGCTGATCCGGCGAGTCGTTAAACGGTGAGATGTTCGAGGCTGTGCCATTAGCGGGATGACGCCGGTCACCAGGCACCCATGACGATTATTAGGATGATAACGACGACGGTGATGAGTCTGCTTGTGACCGACGATCGCTTGCCCATCGGATCCTTTTTCAGATGGTCGTCGTAGGTGGTGAAGACCTGTAGCTTTCCATCGATTTGGAACAAGATGGATCAACTACACCGACGAGAGGAATATTTAAGTATTAGTTTTAATCATTTGTTTTATAAATCAATCGAGATCAATGAAATGAATGAATCGCGAGAGGGCCCGTGCCCTGACGCTCGCGGTGGCCTCTCAGCTCCGGATGTAGCCCCCCGCGGTACCGACGCTCCGTTCGTCCGTCCGTCTGTCTGTGTGGCGGAAGATTCCAAATAAATAAAAGGCAATAAGTGCAGAGGCCCGCGCGAAACCCGTCATTACGTGAGGCGGGCCCACCTTGTTAGCCCGCTGGGCCTCACTGACCATATTCAGCCGCTCATTCAGCACCCCTTCTCGTAGGAGTGCTGGCGCCTGCGCCGTTAAAATTGCTGGAAATTCGTGGAATTCCTACCTCCGACGTATCCGCGACTGCACGATGCTCCTTCGTTCATCTGCTGCGAGAAATTTCCAACTGCAGCCTGTATTTTTCACCACCCCTTCCTCTCCCTTCGCCGTTACTCATTGATAATTTGCAGTTCTAACAGGGATATCTTCTTCCAGTTTCTCTATTTCTCATCAGGATATTTATGAATGGAAATTAGAATCTTGAAACTTCTAATCTTACTATCAATCTCAAATTTTTTAATTGAAATATTTTGTTATAATATTTTCCTGTAGAGGATCAAAGCGATTTGAAAGATGAAGGAAAGCCGAGGAACCGCGTTCCTGAAGGGTTTCCTGGTGTAGCCCACGCAGGAATCGAGACCCACGCCAGTGACGGACCACCAGGAAGCCGCCACGCCCCCGACAGGCCACCTAACCCACACGATCCGGCTCGCGTGTACGGTGCTGCTGTTGGCGGTGCACCTTGAGGTGGTGCGCGCGAATGACTCGAACGCGGAGAGAGGAAAAGGTGGTGGCCCTGGCGGGTTAACTAACGCGCGGAATCGCGCAAACCAGTGCCCCGAGGGTTAGGTGGGAGAAGGAGAAACAAAAAATAAAAGCTGGGGGAGATCGAAAGGACCAGGGGCAAAGGGAAACGAAAGGGGTGCAGGTCGAGGAGAGCCGCAATGGCGGATCGTACGGTGACTCGTCGCAGGGCTTCCTGTGCCTCGTTCAGGACGAAGAGGCGTGTCAGGGGATGAAGAAGCGGTGTCGACAGAATAATCGTCGGCTTCGCGACGGATTTGTCCCGTACAAACAGACGAGCACGAGGGAGAGACAGGGAGAGCCTCAAACAACCCCTCTGGGCTACCATCTTCCTCCATTGGGAGGATCCTTTTCGAGGTGTCAAAATTAACCATATTTGATGATTTTACTTAAATTTAGATTTCAAAATAGCGGAGTATCCCTGCAAGGTTCTGTCCGACGCGTGTCTAACATTCATTCCACTAATTAATCCGAACTGATTTTCCAAACTCGATCCTCGAAGCCAATATTCGCAACTCATCCTTGGACGACTTCCAAACTTTACCTTCTTAACGTAGGATCCTGATTGAAAATGCTAAGGAAGTTTCCCGGATCCATCTTACAGAGTTCTGGCGACCGTCAAGGGACCACAACGCTAATTATAGCGACTAATTAAGATTCTCCGAAACTTGAGCGAATCTCATCGCAGGATTTTTCACGTTCTAACGACGTAATGTTTACAGGTACGTCACTGCGGTATTATCCCGAGGAGGCATCGCGTGGGTCGATGGCAGGTGGGAAGATGAAGGGGTGTGCACCAGGAAACACTCTGCAATTAGAACAGACACGACGTGGGTGAGTGAAGCTAGACTGTAAATCAATCTGTACCAAAGTTGCGACAGCCTCGGGGAAAGAAGCGAGCATCTGCGAGCTGATTCGTCGAAGAGGATTTTCTTGTATCAGCTTTCTATCGAAAACATTCGTTTCTATGATATTTCCTTCGACCCCGTGAACATTCCCAATCGATGAACAAGCAATTCCTCGTAACAGATGTCAAAAATTAATTGCCCGTTCCGGGTAAAGGCAATATAAACGCGCGCACGTGACAAGAAGAAGCTGCACGAAAGGAAACTCGATAAAATCCGAGCAGAGATTCGTCACGGTGCCGATAACCGGTGGAAGATCGTAGAACCACCCCTGACGGACGGTTCTCTGACAAATAGACGAGACCACAGCGAACCATCAGGTCCGAAGGGGTGGTCGGGGGTGGGAGAGCGAGGAAAGCTCCTAGGCGAATTCATAGACGGCCAGGAATGCGCAATATTGTCGGCAGTCTGTCACGCATTCGATCCGGTTCCAAGACGAGATACCATGGACCGATCGTGGTGGTTTTATTACGCGGGTCCCGCGGTGGCCCGCAGATGTATCAGACAATAAACTACGGCCTGTTTGGGATTTGTGGGCCGCGTATTAATCTTCCCATATTTATGTCGGCCCCACAAGAAAAAGCGACCGGATCAACGGGGTGGACGCGGTCGACCCTGTAAAAGAAGGAGCAGCACGCTCGCGCGACGAAAGCATCGATTTTAGATAAAATCGGTTTACCCTTGAAAGAAAAAAAAAGAGGGGGATTCGATGGTTAAACGGTCTGGATGTGGACTATGCTGTTCTAAATGCAATCTGTCGAAGGAAAAGGTAAAGGTAAGGGTTGAAATAATACTTCCAATCAATGATATTTTGTTAGTATACTTTTTATTTTCGGGGTGGAGGAATTAATTCTTAAATTGATCTGTAAGTACTATTTTACATTACTTTTGAATTATCCAAACGAGTCAGACTTTCAACGTTTGAAAATGTACCTTTTGATATGCAGTCGATGGGTCAAGAACGTTGCCTGTTTCGTATTTTTCCTGAAGCAGGTGCAGATCGACGTTATGTTAATGGGCTTTCAAGAGATTTCAGCTAACCATATGCCAAGGTAGCGGGGAGAGGGTAGAAATACTAATAGAAGCCCTTCGCAGAAGCAAGCTCGAATAAACGATGCCTCGTCCAGCGAGGTCCAATCATTTCTGACCGCCTAAGAAACGTTCTGGCTGCTCGGAACGGAAGCCAATTTGTAAATTGCCTCGATAAACCACCAAACCGATGCTGAATTTGTGGCCGGGCATTTTTCTACCCCCGCTGTTTATACCGCTTTTTTTTTCTATGCCGTTCCGCGCTTGTAATTAGGGAGCTTCTGAATTTTATTCGATGCTGAAAAGCTGTATTAGAATTCCTTTTTCTCTTCCAATGAAAGCTTTTAGTTCTTGCTTCCAATTTCTCAAATTTTCCAATTCTTCTACTAAAAATGATCGTTTATTCATCTCAATGTTTCTATACTCCTTCTTTTTCAAATTGATGTACGACATTCACCTGGTTCGTTTTCCACCTTTCTCCGAGCAGATGTCCATTTCCAAAATACTCATCTAACAACTGTCGCAACCGTCCAATTTATCCCCGAAATTCTTCCCATTTATCCCCCCTGAGCCATCGTAACAAGTGCGTGTATCATCCTCTTAGTTTTTTTCAACCCCAGACGTCGATCATAGATAAACCTGTATCAAGATGACACATGGTGAATCCTCGACGGGTATTTTTCTTTTTGCACCCGAATCTCTATCAAGAGACAGAAGGGGTTTATTCGAGGGTTCGTTCTATGATTAGCAGAGATAAGAATCAAGTTATCTCGCCATTCCGCGACGAGGAGCCGCGTAACGCAACCGCTGACGCCATTAGAATATCGTGGCCGCATACCGAGGCACCGAAAATGAATGCCTGGAGAAGGAAAAGGGGTGACAGGGGCGGTCGAAATGGAAGGGGGTTAGCAGGATCGCCGGCGCCTTTGACCAGGAACCCCGTGGCGCGTGACATGCCTCGTCTGACCGCCATTTAGCGTGAACCTGTCTCTGTAGCCAGCCACTCGCCTCCAGGATGACCGTTTTGTTTTCCAAAACGAAATCCTTCTACCTCTATAAACAGTCTTCCATCAACAGGGGAAATTATGGGGGTTGAACTACCCCTGTGCCCTTCCTGTGAATTTTCACGTGATTCGATGACTTAAAAGTTTTGCTAAATGGCACTTGTGGCATATCGATTTAAAGCTTGAAGTATAATGAAAATGACTGCATAAATGGTACACAGATATTTTAATAATTATCTCAATAATTTTTATTCCAAAGAAGGAATGGTTGAAATTCTTCTTCCGAGCAAAGTGCTCCCTGGACGCTGCTCCATTTCGCCCACGCGAACTTGTCCGATCTCGTAGTTCGCCCGGTCGAAATTTCTACGGTGGTTGTAGTGGTGGCCGGGCTGCGGTAGTGGGTCCCGGAGTTATGTTACGGCCGGCCATAAACGAAATGAGAAAACTGTCCGGTCGCCGTTGAAAAATCTCCGCGGAATACAAATGCTTGATTTTTTCGGGCGGCGTTCGCTTTTTGTCGACCGTGCCTACGAGGATCTCTCGTGCCCTCGGGGAAACGCTGTACGCTCGACAAATGATACGCCGATCGTAACGAGAGAACGGTAATAATAATCGTTTAGCTGTCGTGTATCCTTTGATTCCGTGGCCGATTTTTATTTTATCATTCGTGAAACGATTCTTCAAAATTTCGAAGTTGAACAAGTTGGGACCGCGTTGAAAAATTAACTAATAAATTAAAGAAGCTTCTGGGGACAGTCGCGTCGATCTGAATAGGGGGCAGTCGATCGAGCTTTTCTTTCGATTCATGGCTCGCAATTAATCTCGATCTCGTTCCCGTAGCATGCTGCCGGCGCGGTCGTTAATTCGGCGCTGACGAAGGGGACGGAGTGGAGGGCCTGAAAGAAGGCCCCCCAGTACCCCCTCTCACCGTTCCGCTTGTAAGAAGCGAACACGATGACATTCGTACGGGCCCGAGAAAACGAGTCGGGCTACATGGAAGCCTACACGAGCGAACGGACGATTCGGAATCAGATGTTATCTTTGACGAGGGCTGCCGCTGGTGGGGGAGCTCGGGGCCCTTTCTCGGTGCCCCGCGCCAAGATACGGATCTCCTTGGCGCCACCGTCTCTCCCAGGCTCTTCCAGCGGGCCAAGCAAGTAGCGATGCCCGCTCGATTCCTCTATTTTACTTCGTTTAATTGCACTTTCGGTACGCGTTGCTTTGTAAAAATCCAGGGGTCGTGTAATTCTTACGATCCTCAGGACCCTAAACTAACGAGCCGGTCTAATATTCAATTTTTCTTTATCTATGTACAGTGGATCGCAAAAGTATTCGCGCACCGTTTAAAATAGAATACCTCATTTAAAATTGGACCAAATGATTTGAGGTTTCTCGAGAAGATTTAAATTGTGATGTTAAAAAATTTTGAAAAAAAATAGTGGAGGGTAACATAATTTGTACTTATGGTGATTAGAAATTAATATCATTTCTAATAATAATTAATATTATTCTTCTTTTGATATTTCCTGGTTTCTCTCGATCGAGCTCCCTGGTTCTCGTGTCACGAATAAAGGCACGATTGCCCGGCGTCAAATTAACCGCGTTTCCCTGCATCGAAGCACGGTAACTCGCTATCCAAGCGGATTAATGTCACCAGAACACGAGCGGAATCGTGTCCCGTGAGTGAATTCGATCGAAGCCTCGATACCGAGGATCATCCAGGTACACGAGACGACACGCGCGGACGATAACGAACAGCACCGGGAGCGAGGAAAAGGAAAAGGATACAGAGTCCCGTTATCAATCGTTGAAACTTCGTTTCGACGGAGGAGACAAAGCAGACCGGTGCTGGCACCCCGCTGGGGTATCGGTTACGCTTAAACCGCGTTTAGGGCCCTCGAAAGCCGGCTCCCCGAGACCCAACAGGAGCCCTGTCTCGCAGTGATGGACTTAAGAGGGCCCGAATCACTTGCTACGCTCCACCAGTTCGCTTCGTTTTATTTGTTTGCCAGGCCGTCATCGCTTCTATCCTGAGGACACCTTTCGTCTTGTAATTAAAACGTACTTTTTGTGTCCCTCATTAGATAAATGAAGCAGCAGGGTAACTAGAGAAAGTCAGGGGGGGATAATTCGTCCCCCTATTAAGAAACAAAAAATCTTTCTCTTCTAATAAATAGAATATTTTGAGAAATTTAAGAAAATCTCTATCTGAAATATGAATCTGGTTTGCAAGTTCTTACGAATATCAACTAATTGACCAATCCCAATAAATTCCATCGTGAGATGAACTTCTAATAACAATAGACGTATTTTTTCAAGCAATAAAATAACAGAAGGCAAGAAATTGAACGGCGCGTTTGTGACTTAATGGGTCAGGTAAATCGGAGTATGTTTGATAAATACGGCTAATGCCACGTACGTTTGAACAATGGAAAATTGCGTGCATACGTCGCCATGTTTGAAACAGATAAAGCGTATAACTCATGACTAGTCGGGGTACGATGCAAATATCGAGAACAATGAAACGACGAGGCTCGCATTAATTAAGTCGTAAGCAGAATAGAGAGACGTTCTTCGATTCGTTGATCGAGCGTCTCGCAAGGAGCCGAGCTAATTGGCTCTCTAACCAAATAATTGACAGTAAGTAGGAAATGAGAAGTTATTCCTCGTAGGAGTTGTTTGTCGTCTCCCACTTTTCTTTCGCCTCCCTCCTTGAATCGCTATCGCGAATCGACGGCCGAATTAACGAGCGAACGTGGTAATTAACGGTAACCAAGCAATCGAAGCCGCCATTTTACCGGAAGCTTCTCCGCGGTATCAACGCGCTTCTTGCTTTTCTCTTTTAAACAAACCCCATTAGCTAATCGTACGAATCGTAGAAGAAGTTGACCGCGTGAAAAACAGGATTGAAAGGGTCGAAATAATTGGTAGATAATCTTCCGGAGGGGTTTGTCTCGCTCAAGTACCACTGTCCTCGACAAAAATTACCGCAATAGGCTTATTGCGACCTCGAAGGATTTCCCTTGCTTCTGTTCTCTGCGTAGGATCATTTTTCCACGTAATCCTGATAAACTGGAACCGTGCTGAACGATCCTAAGTCCCAGAGGCTTTGGTTAATCGCGCGCGGTTGTAACAATCCTGTTGTTCCATTCTATAGAAAAATTCATACAAGTCGAATTATTTACACTTGACTGATTAATCGTTGGTGTACCGAATGTTTTTATTTCAAGAAAAAAGAAAATATAGGTGTAATATAATCGAAGAGGGTAAGAATCATAATGGTTCCGGAGAAGATAGGCTGGCGCCGTCGAAGATGGCCATGGAAAACGCCCAGTCTAGCTAGGATGACGTTGTAAATATTTTCTGTCATTGGCGGCTCCGTGTCAGAGGCCGTCTTGTCTTCGCTTTAATAAAGGTACTGGCAGCGTAGGTACCTCTTTTGGAAAGCGTGTCACCTGAGCCTGGTATCGGACACTGATGGTGCGGATAGCGGCGCTTTGTGTCTTTCGTGTACCCCTCACGCTCGAAAAGATCACCGGCCCTCAAAAGACCTGCCCTCGCCATTCATCACTTCCGCTCTCTTTTGGTCCCCGGCAGCAGCGAAAAAGTCAATCCGCAGATCTTGTGTGCGAAGGAGAAGAAAACTTTTGTGGACGAAAAAAGGAAGTACCATTTTTTTTTCTCTTTTTATTGGGATGCGAATTTTTTAATTAACCAAACTCTATTTTCTAGAATTTTTAAATATTAAATTTATTTTTCGAAATCAAGGATCCAAATACACTTAAGTTTATTCCATAGGTTCTTGTCCACCTCCCATCCAGAGCAAGATTCCATGATCGTTCAATGGTAAATTCGCTAATTTGCACTTGCAACACTTGTCGCAAGATGTTCGCGTAAAAGGCACACTCGAATGTGTCCGGCGTCGTTTGCGTCGAGGCGGCAGAAAAGGTAATTTGCAGATTCCAACGAACAGGTTTTAACTGAACACAGTCGGGGTGCTAATTTGTCCCGACGCGGAGATAAGGATCTGGCAAAAAGGGTTTGACACAAAACGAAGCAATTAAAATGATAATGCGACCAGGCAGGATCGTCTTTTATAGCGTCCTAGAGAAACTCTATGAAGAACCGACACAGATTTCACGGAGGAATCTAAATTGCAAACAGTTTCGTCAGAACTGACTCTGGTACCGTTCCGAATTTATGTCCCTTCGCGATGTAGCTTCGGCAAACAGCTTAATAAATCATTTTCTCCTTTCTACCAGTGCAATTCTACTTCTTTGTTCTACCTGCTCGAAAGACAATTAACATCTTATCATCAACGTCTGCTATAATCAAAAATTCTGAAACTTATGAAAGATAAGTCATCACATTTTCCACTTTTCCATGGTACCATTGCACTAAACCATGCATCAATACAATCTTTCGTCTCTCTACGATCCTTCGAACAATTCGAAAAGCCATTTCCATATTTAATCGACTCGTTCCAAAGATTCTTCGGTTTCGAGGACCGATACGTCACGTCCCGGTTCCAAGGGGTTCCATCCAGCCTTCCGGATCCTGCAGTGTGCCACGATAGTTACCTGGCTGACGACGCGACGTCGGATGCCTTTGTCTCATGGGCAAAGGATAATTAAAAACCGAGTAAAACTGCGGCCAGAAGAGGCGGCAGTCGGTAAATCCTGTTGGAAAGGGACACCGGAGATCGTATCTCGAATTTACACCCATCAGCCGCCACCTTGTTCCAGCCACCTTCATCCATCTACTTGCGTGTAACCAGTCGCTGGATCCTGGGACCACGATGATGGCCACGATACCGTGCTGTAAAACCCGATGTTCGACAGCAGTTCGGCCTTCAGTATACACAGGTAAGTTATCCGTACGAAAGGTGGATACGCAACAGCGTCTCCTTTTCCTGCTGCGGAATTCGACGGGATCCGAGGTCCTGTACATCCTCCAAGATCTTCCACGGTGATTCGCCTTCTGCGGGTTCTCCTACACCTTGGTGTACTTTATGGTGTCGCGTGGAAATTGAAATTCCTGAAGGAAAGAAGGCGGTTCATCATGGTCCCAGCTGGCAGGCGTGACGAGTTTATTAAAAATGGAGGCTCGTTAGAAGGAACAGGTGAGAATGGGTTTCTCTGTTATTTAGTCGTGAACCATGGTTTCTCGTTTTCCAACATGTATCACCGTGGATTTTGCAACAAATCGAAGTCACGGCTGAAACGGACAGCGCGAAAATAAAGAACCGACGCGGCAACGCAAAGAGACGCCGGAAATCGGTGTCATTCGTTCTCCGGAAGTACCGACATGTTAGCCGCGGTGGCTTATGGTCGTAAAGTCGGGTCGACGCTATTTGTCATTAGACCTTAGGGGGGGAACGGACAGTCTCATTATCCGAATAATTAAAGCTTACTATATGATGTAGCGCCGCTCGTTATCTAACCGGTTTCGTCGATGCGCCTCGGAGATAAACTTATCTGTCGTGTAGAAGCGCTTGTAACGAATCAATTATATTACTTATGTAAGCGTTTCGCGCGTTCCACCACTCGCCGTGGTAAAACTGGCGCTGAAACGTTTCATGGTGTCTCGATAAGAGACTGCTCGCATTAAAATACACGGGGAAACGCGATACGATTATCCCTGTTCGCTAGACGTTTCCTCATCAGGTAGGCTGTCAGTAATGATCTGCTAATTTGTAGGATAATTATCTGGATCAGAAACTTATTTAAATTTAAGTTAAAACTAAACGTGAGGGGTTGTAAACCTCTGTCCAACCCTCGAATACCTTTTATTTAATAAAGTACATCCCTGAATATAAGTCCTCGTGATTCAAGTCAAGATTCTCCTCGAAGAATGAATCCGTCGCAATATTCGTTCAAAATTGTAAACCATCGTCTAGCAAAACGACAGACCGGTTTTCTCCGCGTGTTCCATCACGAATCCTCTCTTCATGAATTCAACCAATTCCCATATTTCGAGCCGGCATGCATTTATGCCTGAATACAAAGTGCGAGAGTTCCCTAAACCAAAAAAAAAAGAAAAATAGAGAGAAGAGAGGGGAAAAGAGTGGAAAAAGGAAGAAGGAAAGGGAAACGTAGACTCTCCGTAAATCTTTCATGCGTGTAACTCTTCTGACGAGGAAGCCACGGCGCTCTCGTTGCGAGAGACCGGAGTTGTTTATGCTTTCCTGTGCAACGCTTTCTGAAATATGCAAATCGCGAATTCGCATAATGGCGTTATCGCGGTAGGATGCCACCGCCGTCGGCGACCACGTTCAGATAGCTGAATCCAACGGGTCGAGCTGTTTCTCGACATCAAACGGCCACCGCCGTTCGCTAGCCCCATTGATTTGTCCCTGAGAAGATACATCCAGTCGCTTTTCGTAACCGCGATAAATATATGATCTGTGAATCAGTTGGCAGATCTCTATGACTCACTGTCCACCAGGAGATCCAGGACTGTTCGGATCATCGAAAGATCGATGGGATCTTCCTAATATCCCATTACCGTTAAATATATCCGAATACTATAGAATCGTGAATTAAAGTCAATTAATTCTATTCGTAGACCCGACGACAATACTGGAGGATTAATGGCGAGTTAGATCCCTGGTTAGGCTCTGATTAAGTCCGAGGTGGGTCTCGGTTAGGTGGGCTTAATCTCAGTTTAATAGCAGTCGTTGCATTTTCATTATTCTTAATTCGCCGGTTGCCTCGCGTTCAACGTTCTGCCTCCGAATACCTATAATCATGTTTCGTTATAACGTTATAAACCAGACAAGATCGCATCGATCCTTGCGTGACACGCAAACCTCAAAATATCGCGTTTCCTTCAACTGCTGAAAGATCTTTGGTGGTCTCTTAGGGTGATTGCTAGCGAGTATTATTTAACGCTAACAAGATTTGACTCGTTTTAACCCTTGTGTTATTAAGTAGGCATTTTCATATTGGTGTTAGAGTATGTATTTGGCATGTCTTTGTGAGAATATTTATATTTATGTTATATTTATTTTAAGTGAAATATTTTATTAGAAGCGTAATGATTTATTTGGATAGCATAATCATCCCTCTGGACAGAAGATCCATGCATCCCCTTGCTATTCTTTTTTGTGTCCCTCCATCTGTTGATGAGAACCAGAAACAGAAAATAGGGGAATACGTCAAATTTCCAATAAAAATAAGTATCTAATTCTTAAAAAATAGGAGAAGGTTGAAACCTATGCTCATTATATTTGTTTCATTCAAATGGCTAGACCCAACTGATTAATTTCGGAGGACGCAGAAAGAGGAAAGGTTAAAGTAAAGAGAGAAAAAGAGGCGAAATATCAGGAAGGAAGAAGGAGCGATACGCGCTGGAACGTATCCGCGGTTTATTATTATTTTATTCGGATGTTCTTCGCCGCGTTATACCCCATAACCCACCCTCTTCCCTACACCTTTTCCTGTAGCACCGTCTACGTAATCTCCCTGCGCCTCCCCCTTTTTCCCTATGCCGCTACCATACTTCTGGCTCTCCCCCACCGTGAGAGGAGAGACCTCTCCTCGCTGTTCCACGTTCGCTCGTACCAGTCAAGTTATAATCCCCCTTTGCTAGGTCCTCAACAGCGTTGCCAGAAGAAGTCCCTTCCGTAGGGATAAGTTGACGCCATATAGATCTGTATGTACTAAAATGACTTATGCACACCATGGGCTGGATTATGGGACCGAGCAATAGACATACGGTAATATGGCATTGACTCTTCTTTTCTTTTCTTTCCTTTAGTGATTCCTTTGCCTCGGGATTTACCCTACATGGTCATTTTTATCCTACCTTTGACAAAACTCTGTAAATAGTTTATTAGGACTGACACTAAATTCTCGATAAAATCGTTGGGATAAGAGCGAAGAATATAATTATTCTTATAATTAATGCTTAAGAACATTAGTCTGTTTCCAGACGTCAAAGGGATAAGAGTGTATATTTTCATATTTCCCAATGGGTTTGTAAATTAAAATGTTAATTACGATATAATTGCAAATTCAAATTGCCCCGAAAAAGTACTTTCGAATTCGATCGTAGCGCCATCTCTTTGAGAACGGCGCAAACCACTTAACGAGTTACCAATCGACTTTTTCAAACAACGGAACAGTCGGTATGCAAGAGTATTACCCATGCTTCGGGGTCCCTAACACCCCAAGATGTATTTTGTCGGTGCGCAGAAAGTCACCGGGGTCTCTGACACCCCAAGATGTATTTTGTCGGTGCGCAGAAATAGTCACCGGGGTTTCTGACACCCCAAGATGTATTTTCTCGGTGCACAGAAAGAATCACCGGGGTTTCTGACACCCCAAGATGTATTTTGTCGGTGCACAGAAAGAGTCACCGGGGTTTCTGACACCCCAAGATGTATTTTGTCGGTGCGCAGAAATAGTCACCGGGATTTCTGATACCCCAAGATGTATTTTGTTGGCGCACAGAACGAGTCGCCGGGGTCCCTAACACCCCAAGATGACAGGTCGGTGCGCACAGTCACCGGGGTCTCTGACATCCCAAGATGTATTTTGTCGGTGCACAGAAAGAGTCGCTGGGGTCTCTGACACCCCAACATGTGTTTTATTTGTGCATAGAAAGAGTCGCCGGGGTTCCTGATACCCCAAGATGATATTTTGTCGGTGTATATTTTGACTCTGCATACCGACCTACCATCGGGGTTCCAGGGACCCCGATTGCAGCGACACTAGCGCCACCTAGCGGGAAATCGCGGAAACTACTTGTTGAGTAGTTTGCGCCTTTTTCAAAGAGATGGCGCTACGGTCGAATTTTTAAAATGTTTAAAAATTGATTTGAAAAATACAAATTCCCTTATATTTATACATGCTTTACGAGAAGGTAAATAAATATTTTGATTCCACAATTCTTTATAAAGTTTTATTATATTATATAGTGCGTTTACATAAGTATTCTTACATACGCGCGACTGGTTTCAAACCCAGTATGGAAAAACACGTTTCCATTATAATTGCAGTGGCTTCTGTCAATAATATACGTCCTACATTTATCTTTATTATTTCTCCTAGTTCGTTCTTTTCAACACAATAACAGTTATCATAAAATTCTGTAAACGCGCATGATATTTCGTAACAGTACTCGCATAATTGATGTAGGTACAAATCTTTTGTAATTTTAATTAATATATCGGGAAACTTAATTAATACTTTCGCCAATTTCCATTCTTTTTCGTGGTCTAATGAAATTTCAGTACTCTCTGCCATTTCTTGTAATTTTTCTTGCGTGATATCAGCTGCTCTTGCAATAGAGCGTATCCTTGTTAAAGCATATAACAAGTATACTGCTGTATTGCCTTTATCTTCGAGCATTTTATCAAAAGAAAATACATATTCGTGATTTCTATTGTGTGATAAATCTGCATATTTTATACATCCATAAGCGATAGATTCCTGAGCAGTTTTCAATTCCTCTTCCGTCAGTACCTTGTCACGTTCTTTCTCTTTTAATTTCTGAAGTGCTCTCTTCAAACCTTAAACAAAAAGAATTTCGAATAAAGTTATATTAATTGGACTATAGAATTAAATGATGTATAGAACGTTACCTTCATCTAACAGATCAGTTAATTTTACTGTATCACCAGATCTGGTCTTAAATTTCTTTTTATCTTTACCAAGGACCACGCCAAATCCAACATGGTCCACTCTGTGCCATCTTTTTAAAATTCCTGCTCGTTCTGCACAACTTTTTAAAACTTGAAAATGCATAGACTGTCCAGCATCTGTTACATATATTATCTGTAATGGTATTAGAAAATGAATTACATAAATTAGAACCACAGTTAAACAAAACCTGGATAACTGAGCCTTACCCAGTCAGCTTTTTCTTCTTCCAAACGTTGTTTAATAGCCGCCATATCTGATGTATCATATGTAAATCCACCATCAGATTTTATGATAGTCAAAGGTATTTCGTCGCGTTTACCCCACATTACTTTCCGCCCTTCGTCTTCTTCTAATAGTCCCTTCGATTCTAATTCTTTGACTATACTTTCCATACGTTTCTGATAAAAAGATTCTCCTCTTTCTATCAAACTTACGTCCAAACGAACATACACCTTTTCAAATTCTATAAAACATATATAGTTTATTGTAAAATTATAATAACTTTTATTTATCGATTCTATCATATATAAAAGTTTACCTTTTCTAGAGACATCACAGATCAACTGCCATGCTTTTATCATTTCCGGATCAAATGCTTGTAATTTCACAACACAGTTATAAGCGCGTTTTTTAAACTCTTCATCTTCGTCGAATCTTTTCTTCGACTCTTTATAAAAGCTCTACAATTTTCGTAACTTATTATTCAAATACTTATATGTAGTTAAAGTACAGTATAAAATATAAGAAAAAGTAATTAATTACTTGAAGATCCGTAATAGGTGGTGATACTGTTAAATAGTCAGGAAATCTGTCTTGAAGATGAGCTATTAACATTCCAAATTGGGTGCCCCAGTCACCAACATGATTTATTCTTAACACATCATGTCCTAAAAACTCTAACAGTCTTGCAATACTCTCACCAATTATAGTAGATCTTAGATGTCCAACATGCATTTCTTTAGCAATATTGGGACTAGAAAAGTCTACTATAACTCTTTGTTTCTTTGTATATGGTGGGAATGCTTTCCCATTTTTTATTAAATTATTCAAAGTCTTTTGTGCAAATTCTTTTTTCAAATATATATTTATGAAACCTGCACCAGCAACTTCTAATTTAGATACTAAGAATGATTCTTCTACTTTTGATACAATATTGTTAGCAACTTCCATAGGTTTTGTTTCAATTCCTGTACAAATATATAAAATACATTGACTGATATGCACAATATAGTAAGATTAATATTTTATGCATTAATTTTAATCCTTACCAGTACTACTGAGTTGTTTGCTAAGAGGCAAAGCACTATTACATTGGTAATCTCCAAATTTTACATTATTACTAGATGTTATCACTACTGGAGGATCAGTAACATCTGGATATGCAGCAGTAATTGCATTTTTAAACAATACAAACAATGTATCACATATACTGATTACTTTATTTTCAGCCATTGTCATCACCTGGTATTGTGCTTTTGTCCTTTCAGCTTCAACAGTCTTTTAGCAATAAATAAAGATTACGATAAGGGTAACTTTAAAGATAGGATAATGATTCACGTTTTAAATTTCATTTTAAGGTGACCATTAATATTACATCTGAAAGCTTTAGCAAAACATACCCTTATTAGGATGGCAATTCTGTGTTTTAATTTTACATTTTCTTGCTCCAGCTTTATGTATTCATCTTTGGATACACCATGTATTTTAGAGTTATTAGTTGTAATATTTTGTTGTAGAAACTCGATTGCTTTTTTCAAAAAAGCTATTTCCTCTTCCTGTAATATGTAAATATGAGAATTATAACCTACAACCAATACTTTACAACCTCAAAAATTATATTTTCATTAATGAATTTTGTAAGATATTTTACCGCTAAGGCTGCTCTTTTCTCAAAACTTGCTAAATTCGGTATAGACATTGTATTAAATGTATGACAACTATACAAAAGTAATACACGTGGATCTTAAAAATACCTTTCTTCCATCACTTATTACAGATCCAACAATACTAGATATTGCACATCCCTTTGTTTTCGGGGTTTTGACCAGTGGGGCCGTTAGGGCCCCTGGCGTGGGGAATGGGGGCTCCAAACGCTACTGCACGCGGCCCAAGTAAGTAGACGCCGGCATCGGGTGCGACCCCCGGTGTCGGTTACATGCTAGGCATCCTAGATGGTCACAGATGTGCCAGGCGCGGAGGGCTCCGGAGTAATATACATAAGGTCCCAGAGCCCTCCTTTAACGCCAGTGTCGGTCGCCGTGGGGTTTTAGTCAGTAGGAATCTGACACTCCCCCGCCGTCCGCCCCCAGGGGTCGGCGGGGGGTCTTATGCAAGATTTCCCCACGTTAAAAAAAAAAAAAAAAAATCCTTTACATCCCTGCATTCCTTACACCTCTGCACTCTTTTCATCCCTACATTCCTTACATCGCTTCATCCCTTATATCCCTACATTCCTTACATATCTTTATCCCTTACATCCCGACATTCCTTACATCTCTTCATCCCTTACATCCCTGCATTCTTTTCCTCCCTACATTCTTTTCATCCCTGCATCCCTTACATCTCTACATCCCTTACATCCCTATATCCTTTACATCACTGCATCCTTTACATCCTTGCATCTCTTACATTCCTGCATCCCTTACATTCCTGCATTCTTTACATCTCTGCATTGCTTACAACCCTACACCCTTTTCATCCCTATATTCCTTATATCTCTGCATCCCTTATAATAAATATATTATAAAGACTGCTTCGAGTAAAGGTAAGTAAAGGTAAGTTCGAATTTTGCGAAAATTTCGAAAAAAAACAGCGCCCCCTATCGGGGAAAATGCGAACTAAAATTTCGATGTCGAATCAGCGCCATCTGGTTTCGGAAAAAGGAACTAAACCATGCATCAATTTTGGCCCTCTAGCGGGAAAAATGTGAACTAAAATTTCGATGTCGGATCAGCGCCATCTGGTTTCGAAAAAAGGAACTAAACCATGCATCATTTTTGGCCCTCTAGCGGGAAAAATGTGAACTAAAATTTCGACCTCGAAGCAGCGCCATCTGGTGGCAGAAAAGGGAACTAAATTTTGCGAAAATTTAAATTTAAAATTATTTTACACGAGACTTTACTTACCTTTACTTACCTTTACTTACCTTTGCTCGAACCAGTGGCCATAAGTGTATTATTTGTATTATATTTATTATAAGGGTTGAAAGGGTACAGAGATGTTAGGGATGTAAGGGATATAAGGGATGTAAGGGATGTAAGGGATATAAGGGATGTAAGGGATGTAAGGGATGTAAGGGATACAGGGATGTTAAGGATGTAGACATGCAAGGGATGCAGTGATAAAGGGTTGGGCCTCGTGTGGCTCTTAAAGACAAAAAAATAATAAATATCTGGGAAGATCGAGCCGTAAATATATTTTTTATAATATATTATTATAAGGGTTGCTGAGATACAAGAGATGAAGGGATGTGAGGGATGCTGGGATGTAAGAGATGCTGAGGAGTAAAGGATGCCGATATATAAGGGAGGTGAAGATGTAAGGGATGTAGATATGTCAAGGATACAAAGATGTAAGGGTTGGTGCAATACAAGGGATGCAGTGGTGTAACATTTTCGTTACTTAGAAATATGCAATATAAGGAATACGCCAAGGATGCAGAGAATACGCAGGGGATGTAAAGGATACTGAAATATAAGGGATAGTCTGATACAGGAATGCGGGGTGGTCCCGGCGAAGCCGGAATATTTTGGGATGTGTACTTGTTTTATTTAAATACATGTATCTCAAAGCAATCATTGATAGGAATCATAAGTGTAAAAATTTAAAGAAAATCCAGAAAATACAGCAGTAAATAAATAAAATAAAAGGAATTTTAAACAATGGAACATAGTTAAAAAAATGCAATTTCTTTTTATATCAATTATTTATTTTCCATACAAATTATAAACATGTTTTTCAAATACTGTACATATACTGAATTCTATTATATTTTTAAACCTCTAATTTAATGATATATCATTTCGTTCTTTATTTACTTGTTAAATCAACTACTTTGATCCTCATTTCGTTTTTATTTATGATAATATACAAGTAGATCCCATTTTTTCCGATCAATATTCCATTTAACCATTTTACAATCAAGCTCAATTTCTTTGATATGGCAATTCCAGGATATGAAGAAATATAAATTGCAAACAGACGCGATTTTACAATTATAATAGTAATTTAGCAATATGTTGCAAAAACCACAGTCAATGTTTTCATAGAGATAATGATTTGAGAGTATTCTAAAGTAGCAGCCAATTGTTCTACGGAAATTATACGTTTTATAACTTTAATTCCGTAATAAATCGTTTGAAAATTATACAATTATTTTTGTGGTACATCCAATCTCTATGAAAATAAAGACAACAAATTTTGGCGCATTTAACTTTAAAGTACAAGATCAGAATCACAAGTTACAAGTAAATCAATTTTTGTTGTTGCAGGAGTACTTCATACAATACACAAAATGTAGTCACTGGAACTTTTCCTTTTGATGATATTTATGTAAATATGTACAAAGATATTTAACAAATTTCGGTTTATCGTTAATTTTATCATGTATTGTGTACAGTGCAAATTTTCTTCATTTTTTCTTTTTCTAATCTACTTCTGCGCTTGCATCTTTATTGGATTTCAATTTATTTATTTTTTCTGATATCATCAATATAGAGTGAGAGAGTGCTATTTTCTATCTTCACAGAAGACATAGATAAATATATATTTTCATAATCTTTCCTTATAAATGTAATTCGCTTACTTTAAAATCATTATTTGTTAATGTTAATAATATTAGTGACGATGTTCTTTTCTTTCGATTTCATACTCCTCCTATTTTCCCTCGCAATTTTTCGTTGAAATAAAAATTCATATAATTGTATATTGCATAATTTTTTGTTCTTTTTTTTCTTTCTCAAAAAATAACGCTTTAATCCAGGTCGATTTGGAACCATCGCGCGTGTTTTCAATTAAATTAAATTAAATTAAAACAACTTTTGTTATTTCGCATATTCTCTTCATAAAGATTTATTTCGAATTACAGAAAAATATTTTTTTCTTTTTTCTTAACGACACTTTTCTTAAATACTTAATAATTAAGTATTATTAATTAAAATAACAGGATGTGAAAACAATATTACATTTGGATGGTTCCAATTCCACCTTAACATGTACACAATTTAGCAAAGTTACAATATGTATAATATATATATATATATATATAATATGTAAAAACAAGACTTATGATCAATTATTACAAAAAGAAAGGTAACAATAAGTAAAAATCGTGACAGCTGCCAGTTGTTGAATGAAAGCCATGTACATTATCATTTAAATACACAAGTTTCTTCATTATTCAGTCAATCACCTAGCGAATTCAATTCTCACCCCAAATAAAAAGCGACATATTTCTGACTAAAAAGAGAGATCAAAATACATTGCCACTTGTTGCATAAAAGTTAATTAAAGTAAAGAATACAGTAAATATTATTTTCTTAAAGTATACATGATTCTTTTCTGAAATATCTTAGTATTCACTGTTCTGTAGGCAAGTCCTGTTTCAGAACACGCAATCGATCAGATTAAAGAATATGTAAAAAATTTTCTGTGCATAGCTGCACGTATATATATGTATAGTCTCTGTGAGAGATGTGACTAAATAAAATTAATCGCAGAATTTAATGGTCCTCTACTCTCTGAAACAATCGTCGTTGCAATGGTAAAACAAAATCGGCATAAGACGTTTTTTGGTCCATATACATTGAAGCATCAAAAATGATATTAAGTACGAAATATGTTGTCAAATAAGATTTTCTATAAACATTATGAAAGAATGCTCAAATTTAGAGAGCTCAGATCCAAAATCACGCTATTACCGTTTTCTCATTTTTTATTAAAATCGAATGTAATTTGCATTCTTGAACCATGCAGTCGAAAATTAATAAGGTCATGTTATCAAGTTAGAGAGAGAAAAAAAAATCTCTTTCGCTTATTTCGACTTTTTTGATGGACACTATTTATGTCTAGCGTGTATAATGGATGCAATTCTGATGTACTTGTTGTAAATATAGTAGAAAGATAAAAACAAACGAAGTACGCTAAGTAAGAAAGTCATTCGTGTAAGAACTATAGAAAAAGAAAAGATCTTAGAATAAGAAATAAAGTGATTACAAGAAATACAAACACATCCCTTTAATCTAAGTGTCGCTGCCTAACAACGGGTGGGTTTGCACAATTGTAAGTGTGTTCAAAGATCACCTTTTAAAAATACGTAAAAATGGTCAACGATTTCGTTAGCTTTTCTTTTATCTGATCATTGAGAATTAATAAAAAGCTCTGCAGCGAGAAATTCTTATCGTTAGTTGTAATACAGCTAAAAAGAAGAAAACAGTTCTACAACAAAAAAGCTTAAGGAAAGGTCTTTAATGTTGATCTTGACCTTGCTCGATTTGGATAATTAAAAAAAAAAAAGAAGAAGAAGAAACGAAACTGTAATAGTGTAACCAAGGAGACTTAAGAAATCATAATGGCATACCTCTCTATTCAACTTCCATTTCGTTTAAAACTTAGAAATCACTTAGATAACTTTATACACGATCATTTATAACAATGTAAATCGTAATCATTGCATTAATATTTAACATATATATTCTTATATGTAATATATGTATATCTGTGTGTGGATGTCCTGTCTGATCTATTTCCTAGTTTAATAATAAAACTATAATACTAAATTATGTTGGTACCACGCCTTGCCGAGATCAGAGTCTGTTTCTTTTTCTTTTCTTTTCTTTTTTTATATATACCTTCTTTTTTGCCATTTTTTTTTGTTTTCTCTATTTTGGTACACACATTATCCTCAACTTACAATGTTTCATACCAAATTTATTGTCGTCAATTTTAACTTAACTTTTATTATATCTCTTTAATAAAACTTCGACGAATTAGAAACATTTGTATGTGAATGACGGAATATTCATAAAATATATATACGATTACATTTGTTTCGATATAAAATTTACAATTCCGTCATATCTGGAACGCAGTTCCTGCCGTGTTTCACGGAGGAAATCTTTTTTTTTCCATGGTACGTCAAAGCACACATACCAATTATTTTTACTACAATCTTATTATTTTTTTTTTTCATTTCAAATGAATCAAACTCAAGCTCAGGCTGGCCAGTACTTCTAATCTGTAAACGCGAGTGTGTATGTGGTATGTGTGTTGTGTGGATGTGCGCGCGCGCGTTCACGTGTAAATCTTAAGTTCTCTTTAAGGAGTTTCATGGAAAATGTTCGTAAATACTGAATGAAATATGTAATTTGATTAATCGAAATAAACGTACGATATAATTAAACGCATATCTAGTTTATACAATGATTGTCAAATATATATTATATATATATATATATATATGTATCCGAATTCACGTCTGAAACGATCTTTCAATAAAGACGTTTGGTTTGTGGTAAGAACATTTTCAACAGAAACTCTATTAAATGTAGACGCGAAAAGTGTAAAGTGTAACGCGTGTTTACAATTATGTATTCACGTTTAACCCTTTGAAGAGTACGTATATTTAAGAGCGATCCGTCAAAGCTAATCGAACGATCGTAATTAGTTAAAATTGAAAGCATAATCAAATTATAAAAGCTACATCTCCTCTGTGACATGCAAATTAATTAAAATCCAAGCTTTTTAATATTATAGTTATAAAATTATTACAATCAATTGGTAATAATACTTATATCGTCGTGAACGAGGATAAAATTTAAAAACAATCACGAGACACTTCAGAGGGTTAATATCATTATGTGTAATTGTGTATGTGCGCGTAATGGATGATTTCTTTATGTGATGGTAGGCACTGATGGGGGTGGATGGCTGCATGGCGAGCAGGTTCAAGCAGGTTAATCCTTGATCAATCTGTATATATGATGTTGTGCACCGTGCTCGGACGTCGATACCTCGAACACGTATGCTGTGCACAATAACGTTTCCTGCGTATCCCTGTTCGTAACAACCTGCAAAATATAGAAAATAATTAGAGAACAATAATCGTATAGCAGCTGGACGAAGTAGAGCTTTATAGTAAAGGATTGCCTACCTGGAGAATGGTGAAATTCTCGAGAACGCTGTTCATCATGTACTTTTCTGGCAGGTGCTTCAATTTATGTATAAAATTGATCATGTACTCGCACATAGGCGAACGATTAATACGATAGACGAACCTGCCATTTTCAAACCTAGCGTATTCTGTCTCCACTTTTTCTACCACCTGTTTACCGAACGAACAGACTTTGGTCGAACACGTTATCGTCATGTTCTCATTGCTCTCGTACCTGAAACAATTATTCTAATTAGTAAAGAAAATATTTCTTCGATCAGCTTATCTTAATTGAATACGATATATCTTACTTACTGGCTTGTTACACCATAGAAGGCTCTAGCTTCATCCTGGATGTTCGTATTGAGATCAGCCCAGAATTTAACGAGGAAGAAGGCTGCCTGTGGTCCCTTGTCGTAAAGTTCCTTCAGGCCGCCCTTTTTCTCCGGGAATTTATCATATATTTGCCTGACATCGACAGCCTCTAGCAACGGATCCGCGTAAGTCGCGGATCCTCCTATGTGGACGAACAAGTGTTTGTGGTACTGGAAATAAGGGAAATTTGTACATTTGCTGAAATTGCTACAACCGTTGTAGTTGCAACATTCGTTAAGAGCATGAGAAACAGTTTAATATATCATTTTCCTTAAGGGAGGTTTTTCTCAATTATGTGTATTCTGAATAAATTTAATTAATTTTTATATCTCGTATAAAAGAGAATATTTATTAGTTACGCTTAGTTTCTTTCTCTAGAGTGAAATAGATAATTGTAATTTTGTTTGATATAAGTTTCTCATTCGTTATGAGATAAGTGCATAAGAATACACTGTCAGGAGCTCTTGCAAACGTCTTCGTAAACATCTTCTACTCGTCATCAATGCCGATGTTATGAACCGGCGTGCTGGCCTAGTAATCACTTTGAAAATATAGAGCGTTTCAAAAAAGATGTACACCATGAAAACTTCGTGTATAAAGAAACCGAGAAATATTCATTTTACAATTTCGTACTTTGATTTCAAAATGATCCCACTTCTTTTATTTTGCCTATCAAGCATGCCGTCTTAAGATTTCAACCGGTAGACCGGTTTGAAGTCTTATGATGGCATCGGTACTGAAAAAATAAAGGACTTTTCGATTCCGTTTCTTGCAGGAAGAATTATCAGTTTTCACGGTGTACATCTTTACCCTAATATGTATAAATTTTTGGAAGACTCGGAATCGTTGTGATTTTCTAGTGAAATAAGATGATTCATTATTCGAACAATTATTTCAGAATATTTTTATTCACATAAAACCCACAGATTTATGAGGGGCTGGAAATTTTTGTACACGTAGTTGCTCTGCTTTTCATCGGAATACTTACAATATCCTGATCTCTTTGTTGGTCCATATAGGCCGAGAACTCGACAAGCCTGAGTTTATGGGTCGCGATGGCACGTCCTTCCCAAGGTGGGGGTGGTTGAGCCTGAACCATATCACCGCTCGACACTGCCGTCGCTGGTTTTCCGGTGTACGCCGGCTGGGAGAAAGGCTTGACATCCTGGGAGGTTCCTGGTTGCAGACCCGGCTGCCAGAATTGCTGAAAAGTCGATACCTGTTTTCTTTTTGCTATTTTAATCAGCATTTCTATTACTCTTCAAGATATCCGATAATTCCATGGAATATTAATGAGAAACCTTTTGGGAACAACTCATTAGGTGTATGCGAAAGCAATTGTTTAAAACAATTGGTAAAATATTTTATTTACCATCTGTCATAATATTTATTAATTCACTCGCTTCGTTACAAATTGTTTTTCAAGATAATTATAACATTTCAAGTGTTCATCCAGAAGGGTTAATAATTAGCGTTTTAATACATCTGAAATGAAATGCAATTACCTTCACTTTCACATACACCTAATATACAATATCTCTGAGAACTGTCGGATTCATGAAAATAAGTTGAAAGTTTCTAAACGTGTTAGTTATTGTTTTCCCAAAGAAGAAACGAGCTGTCTTCCTGTTGGTTCATCTTTCATATTGACAATACCAATTAGAACGTTTTAAACAGGAAGAGATCTCATTTTTCTCCGTGAGCCAGCGAGCCCTCGGGCGAGGAACGATCGTAGCGAAAGAAAATTAAAAACCAACAAATAAAAAAAATAAAAAAAATGAAAAAAATAACACGAATACACGAAAAACACGTAAAAAAGGAAAATAATAGTGGTTGTATTACGTGAAGAGAGAAAGACAGTTTTGGTAAGCCACAACGACGCTTCACGACGTGTGTAATTGTGTAAAAAAAAATATACGATATACAAAAAAAAAAGTGTATATGTATTTGTGTGTGATACATATATAAAAAAGATAGAGTGACAAACAAATCGAACAATACACAACAAGGGCCCCCAGGGGCGTAGCAGCAGAGAGCAAGGGGATTTGATCTTTGTCAGGATGGTTAGTTCTTTTTCCGTCGCGCGTGGCTAAAAGAAAAACATATAAAGACCCTAATCGAAGCCATAGAAACGCTTCTCTTTGACGACAGAAAGAAATAATAACTGAGGAGAGAAAATACAAACGAGGCAAGGGTGAAGGAAAATAGAAGATGGACAGAATTATTTAACTCTTCAATTGAATAGAAAACTTTCTTCAAAATTACGATTCATAATTTATAATTAAGAAGTGTTCGTGAGAAATCTAATAGAAATGTGATTCCAACGCGAAGAATTGATGTTACTAAAATACAAAATCCAAAGTTTAGTAGCGCTTCTTCGGCTTCGTAAAAAAGCTCTCCTCGCGTTAGTCGACAAACGTGAAACTCTATTTCAATTTGTAAAAGCAATAGATTTTTGATCGTTTCAGTTTTGACAAACCACACGACTGTGATTGGCTCTTGCAAGCGGATTAAAACGTGGTTACAAAGGGCGAAGCGGTTAGAAAAAAAATATAAAACAGATACGAGTGTCAGAGAAGAAGGCAAACCGATAGTACGCATCCTCAAGACGACGAGACACCGATGGTTCGTCCAATCTTTTGATACCTGCCTGAATTTTTTGATGAAACAATCTATTCCTCTGTTGTAAAATTTGAAAACTTAAAATCGTCGAAGAGTATAGATAAGATCCTCAACCATATGAAACATAATCATCAAACTGCGAATATTTATGCAAATATATTTTCTTCTATGAAAATGAACAGTATTATTTTATTAGGCAAATTTGATAAATCTTACATCTTATTTTACATATTTTCGCAGTTTAATAATTATATCAGGGACAGAGACATCAACAGACATTCAAAGCAACATTGAATCTACAATCTCGTGATGATGATTCGATGATGAAGAGAAAAGAATGCATGGGGTTTTGATTGAAATACAAATAAATGGATCCAAGATCGATCTTTCTCTCTTAACACGTGTGTTGTCGAGTGGCGTGTCTCGTCGTCTCAGCCCAAAAGCTCGTGGCTCCTTTCGAGATAGAGAAAATTATGATAGGTCGCTATAAAAAAAAAAAAAAAGAACAAAAAGTTGTTTCCAAAAGGGGTTCCTCGTGATCGGGACTTACCGCTCCGGGATAGGAGACAGGGGTGGAAGCGTGTAGGGCAAGGGGCCCCACGAGGGCGGGGGGCATCTTGTTGTGTATCGCACTCCCAGCTGATACTATCTGGGCGCTCGACATGCTCGACATTGTCTGGAGCGCCTTCTCCTTGGCGACATGATCCTAATAAATCGTCAAACCGATTACAACTCATTGTCGGGACATAGGGAATCTAACGCAAGTAGAATTGTTTCATTTTTATCTTAACCTATGATTGCCTTCAATAATTTACTGATGAATTTCTGTAAATTAAGGGACCAGTGGTGATAGATGATTTGATTCGATTTACAAGGGTTTATTGGAATTGCATTAATGATTATTGATCAGTTTTTATGAAGTATGAAGGGATGGGCAGGGAGTTCATAATTAGTCTTCAGACTGATACATTTAATTTACCATTTATATTCAATTTTTCTATTCAGTTATTTTTGAAAAAAGAAAAAAAAAAGATAGAAAACAATAGATGAAAAAAAACTAATAAAAGATCAGGTGAAATGAACATTTCTAAACAAGGATTCACGAGCAGATCGCATTAAATCGAGCAGAGATAATTAAATCAATAGGAGATTTCTCCAGGTTGTTTGCATAATATTGTTATCGTAGTTGAATTCTCCCCTCTCGTTACTCTGTCGCTGTTTTAGCCTAGACCCCGGTTGGTCGATGTCATCGATCGTTATCGATAAAACGGCAATGCAGTTGATTGCAGAAACAAGGCTCTGGTTTTCGACGAAATTCGTCGAAATTTTGTGCTTTTATCGGAAAGCCGTCGTTTTAATCAGCGCCTCCCTTCGCCCCGACTGAAAAATCGCTGACGAAGCAAATGAAAGCTTCGTTGTTCCCATGATATCCGGAAAATTGGCATGTCCTCCTCTTACCCCTTTCCACCTGACTACAAGGCTTTTCAATTTCGTTCATAAATCCCTAATGGAATAGCCATTACAAGTTCTGCCGTTTGGAATGAAGCGTGCCAATACGCGCAAACAATACAATCGATAGAAAGGGTTTTTGTCTGGATCGAAAAAGTGCGAACTTTTCAAATCCCTTCTGTCGTTCCTGTTTCTATTATTCACAGATTTTCCGCATAACTTTCTCTTCTTTTTCACCGAAAATTTATTTTACCTTTCGTGTCGCACGGGTTACCGATGACCCGGAGAAATTTATCAAAGGTTTATCCGAGATGCTATCAAATAAATTTCTCAAGTTGGTTTACCGATCGATTTTCCGTGGCGGAACGGAAGCCAGAAAAAAGAAAGGGGGTTAACGCCACTTATCCGTGAAGTTGTTCGCCGCACGAAAGCCATGCTTTTAGGCATCGCCGCGCCGACTGCAATTGCAGCGACTGCATCTGGTGCTGCAGTGGCCGCATACCGCGTGCATTATTCAGAGAAGCAGCCGGTGCACGGACACTCGAATGTGACGTAATTTTCTGGTTTCTGCGCTTCACATGGGGTGGACAGTATCCGGCGGTGGTGCTTAAACCAACGTACGGGCCGGAGCTTCGCGATTTATTCCGCGAGAAAAGAATTTTTTACCCATGCTGTTTACGTTTCCTGCGGTCACGCCTTATTTAATTTCTACGCGGTTGCCTGACCATTAGAGACCATTCGCGGCGAACCGTGCCCGTGGCCGTATTTTTTTTTTTCTCCAATTTCCTACCCCTTTTGCCTCTCCTAAACATTCGACATTCATATTTCTCAGGAAATAACAACCAGCGTTTAAAGAACAAAGAGAATTCAAAGAATTTGATTCTTATTTGAACATCTCTTCTATAAATTACAATTAATATTTAATATGCAAAAATCTAATAATTTCATGATATGATATTTCATACCACCCGATCCGATTCAGAATGCGTGGCAAAGTTATTTGGGGATACATATATCGTTCGTTTCGTCATCCCCTTCGTCATCTATATTATCGAATATGCTAATGATATTCTAGCTTGTATCTGACAGATGTACATTCAAAATATTTCACCGAATAATCCAAGTTCTATCCTATTAGATATCAGTAACAAGGGGATGATCCTAATTGTCCAACTTCCGATTTACCAGTCAAATAACTGTTCCAGTTTGCCAATGCATTTTCCAAATTATAGAACGAGAGACGAACGTTGAAAAAAACAGAACACGTGTGCGAGAATAGTACTGAAAGGGTTGAAATTGAAGTTGAACAACCGAGATCCACTTCCCGTGATTGCTCTTCAGTTTATTTAACAAATCCATGAAAGCAATTTGAAAGGTACAAACAAATCCGGGCAACGAGCGATTTATCCGTCAATTTTTTCGGGAAAGCACATTCTTCCGGGATCCAGACCCCCGCCATCTATTTCCGGAATAATCCTACATCGAGCATTACACTGTAATTGATTGTTGCGGTGTAAAACGTTGGCCCGATAACTGATGATATACCGAAAAACGGTCAAGCGGCATTTCAGAATGTCGATAAACATGTCCAGCCCGTTACCACGGCCAATCCTGCACATTCCTCGCGTGTATTCGCGCGACGAGGGGTTGCTTCAGACAGGGACAGTGATATCGTTGAACGACAAAAACAAAGAGAGACACGAAAACGAAAAAAGAAAAACATGAATGAGAGAGAAGAAAAATAGAAAAAAAAAAATAGCACCAGCGTAGCCACCCTCTCAATTAACCGAATTGATTTTCCACTGCAGATTCACAATCGCCCCGCGGAATGAAATGGATTCTCGCGTGCAGTCCACGCTCGATTTTACAATCGTTTTTCTCTCTCTCTCTATCGTTTTTTTTTTTTTAATTCAAAAACTCGCCAGTCCTTTTAATAAATCGTGATGGGTGAAAAATAAAAGCAGCGCGAACAACGCGTTTCAAGCTCGACTTTTTGTTTCGTGTATCGTTGAATGCAAACGTACGCCAGGGTGCCCCGTATTTATACGGGATTTATGAGACTCTATTAAATATACAAACGCAACCGCGATGTCACCGCGATTTCGCGAAACGCGTTTTATCTTGCGAAAAATTGATCGCAACGAGATTTCGCGTGGAGAATATACGCTCTTTCGTTGGGATATTTTCGTTAACTCTTGGATGACGAACCATGAAGAGAGCCACAATTTTGATTTAATTATTATATTTGCTTCTGCGGTGAAAACCTTCAACATTCCTCATTAGGCAATTTTGAAAAATAATACTTTACCCATGAAAATTCCTTAATTATTCATTTATCACGTTAGTTTATCTTCTTCCTCAATTTCACAATTCATTTTTCTTTCCTCTGTCCAATAATTTCCAAATAATTTATTCCTAATTTCCAATATTAATTAATAAAAAATCATTCAGTATTTAATGAAGAAAAATGAACGTTGTTTAATTTCTTGTATGCCAGATTCGGTGGCTTTTATTTGATTGTTCAAATGAAAAACTAAACTGGCAGAACACAATGGAACGCGTTAAACATTGATTAACTGCGTAAAAACACGGTCGGATTGCTTAATTTACACGTTCGTTTTGTTCCCTTTTTATTTCCGTTGCCGGACTATTGACCGTGCCACGGTATAAACAACACACCGGTACTGTACTCTCGTCTCTTTCTCTCTTTGTGTATCGGCTCTCATCGGCGAATGCAGCGTGCTGTGATTTATTAACAGGCGTGCAATTGTTCCCAAATCGCTTTAATAATTCAGCTGTTGATTAAACGGGCCGGGTTCATTTTTACGCGTGATTTATTCGGCTACAAACCACCCAGGATCGCTCTTGATCGAACGAATTCTCTGCTGACGATTAATTTCTCTGCGATTCGAATCGAACAATATAAATTTAAAAAAAAAGAAAAAAAAAAATCAAATGTATGAATTTTATGAACATCATTTTTTCATTAAACAACAGAATTCAGCTAAAGGTTCCTTTATCAGGTCGTGAACGAAATTCTACGGATTTATTTATTCAGGGGATTCATTTGTATTACCGTATAATGTTTATACAATGTCAGGAATAGGTTGTTGTATGTGTCTTTTAGATGTCTAGATGAAAAGGTGAACGACAAAAAGAAAAGAAAAAAAAAAAAAATAATAGAAAATATGAAACTAAAATAAACGAAGGAAAGAAGAGGTAGATGGATACTTACCACTTTGAGTTTTGCTTGGATCTCGCGAAGTTTTCGCCTGGCGAGAACTTGTATGTGTGAGGAGACCTGTTTTCGCGTTCTCGTTTTGCCCGTTCTCAGTTTGATATAACGAGCGATCAGCTCGTTACGTCCTGTAACAAAAAACATATTCATAGTGTCATTATTATATAAAAAGACAAATTTTCATTTTCATTTTCAACATATCTTTGCACACAGAGATATACCAGCCCTGAATTTTTATAAACAGGAATTTTTTTTATATAATAATTGATAAGTTATTAGTCTCACGTGATTGAAAATAGTGGTTATTTAATAATTACACATCATATAGCAACGATTACACGCAAGTCTGACATCGAGCAATCTGAATTTAAAGAGGGTGCAGAGGGTGAAAGAGCGAGAGCGAGAATGGAGGGTGAGAAACGAACGTGAACTCGAATTAATCGAGTGCATTCAGTTTTCGAGGGTCGATGAAAATCCGCGAGGGTCTTTCGTCGACAATGAGTATGTTCCATTTGCATGCTCGACAGATTTTTACCACCGAATATCGTTTTCTCTATCTCTTTTTTTCCACTGCTGTTTTTCATCACGAAAATCGATCGATTGAATCGTGCGCCATTTGCCACCCTATTTCTCAATATTCATACATAAATCCTGTTATTGTGGTTTATCGAACCATGTGAAGCGTTGAAAGAATCCGTGTTGCACCCTCCAAGGTAAATCTCTGATTAAATAATTCCACCCCTCCAGAGAGAATTTCCTTTTTATTTCCGTTACCATTTCTATTACCTACCCTGTGAACGATCGTGAAATAACTTTGCTCGTTAACCCTTTCGCTACCAGGTCTGATATCATAGTTTAAATCGAGGAAACAAGGCAAAGACACTTTGGTTTCATCCTTGATCAGCTCCTCAAGACCTCTCGAGGGTGCACAAGTAGCAAAGGAGACGAGGCTAGAGTGAGAGCAAGGGGTAAATGGCAAGGGAGGGAAAGAGAAGGAAAGGAGGCTGGTGTGACTAGGGAGGATGCAGGAGGGAGGGGCCACGGAGAACTCTGAAGCATCGGGAGGAAAATATTCGAGATTCCAGGCGAACCGCGTGATGACTCAATTTCGCAAAGACCGTTAAATGGCCCGCTATGAACCACGCGCCACTACTGCTTGCGTTCCTTCTCTGTTTTTGAAGGTCGAACATTCTTCGAACCGGGCCGGGGGTTGCAACCGGGGGTTGCCCGACTTCTTCGCAGGAAAAGATTGCCAAGATCCACTTTACGGTTCATTTATTTCTTCACTGGTCACCGAACGACCGAAATTATGAAAAAGGAATGAATACCTCAGATTCGTTCATATATTGAACATTGACAAGATAGAAACAAATGAAACTAAATGAATTTATTAGATTGTCATTCTACTGGATGACTATACTATATTTTTGCGACGACTATACCAAGTCATCTAATTTGTCGCGTAGCTTGTTATTTAGATTATTACAAATAATAAAAACAGCAATTTTGTTCAATTTAGATGGACAATGCTGCTCCACTCTGTATAGTTTCAGCAAGGAAAATTATAGTTAAGGTGTATACGAAGAGAAAGAGAGAGAATAGGACTCACGACGTGACAAGCAATCAACGTAAATCACTTGACTGATGCTCAATTTAACAACAAGGGTCATTATAATTCCGATTCTCCAAGTAACGAGGACGAACAAAGCTATCCCTCTCTATTTCCAACTGCTTACTAGCAGACATTCACTAGGAGTATTAATAAAAAGCATAGTTTATTGTAGCAACATGTATAGTTTGTAGAGGAGATCCTTGTTTCAAGATAATTCAGTAGAACGAATCAAGCATTGTGAATACAAGACAGTTAAAAAGTTTTTAGAATAATTAAAACAAATTTTTCTTGTTCTAAAAGAAAGAAATAGCATTTAACGAATTGGAATAGTCGTCGCAGAAATATTAAATCTTATTAATTGAAAGAAACTAATCAACGATAAATTAATTATCAAACAGAGCACCCAAATGATGTGTTACATAATTCGTGTGTAATTAGATACTATTTTATAGTGGAATGTATAGAGATGACGTAGAGGTTGGTAAAGGTAGAGGGATGAAGGATCTTGGTACTTGGCGAACGTTGACGGAAGGGATTGCTTTTGACATGTCGAGGATTCAACGTAACAGTGGTCCTCCGGGTATTCTGGACTTTACCGCCAAGTGGCGTCATTAATCGATGCTTCGCAAACAGTGCCCTATGGTCGGAGCCCTCCAAGTGGCGAAGTGCGTTTAAGCTCGTTTAGTCAATTAGTAATCGTCGAGCAATCCGATCGAGTCAAGGGATACTCGAAAACTGGGGATTAGAGCTCCTTTCACACTGCTTGCACTCCACCTACCTTAATACCTCCATCTTGCTCTCCTCACCATGGAAACATGTTTAGCTAACAGAGTTCCTACCAGCCATTCAATTTCCTCTTCTCTAAGAAAAGTTTATTTAACGTAAGAATATTTTGAAGAACAGCCACGTATAAAAATCTATTTCTCAAATATCTAATATCTAAAGAAGAATAGCAACCCCCGAGATATAATGTCGAGGTGCTGAATCAATATTTTCAGAGTTGAATTTCAATCAGCACCCAATACAGAGAGCTAATGAAAACTCCCCTAAAATTGTCGAGATTACTGCGTTTACATGACGAATTTGAATGCGTAAGTGCAATGGAGTGAGTCGTCAGAGCAGCTGATCCGGTAAAACCATTCAGCAAGAAATCCCGGTGCGACTAACACAGAGCTTTTCAAAGCTTTGATACACCAAAAGTTCTCCCTTCTCTTTTCTCTCTCGCTCTGATGTATGGTGGAAGAAAAGACGAGGAGAGAGTAGATAGAAGTCGATAAGTGTCCTTGCGCTAGGAGGAGGATCCTCTCGCGTCTTGACACGGTGACCCCCCACCCTTGTATCCCTGGCACAAACCCTCCCCCCTGCCAGCGACTCCTCTCTTCTTCTTATCATCCCTGGCCGCCATTCCATCCATCTTCCTTTCTTTCCATTTTCTTCACTGCTATGGTACCACCACCAGCGACATCATCACCAACACAGCTACGATCCAGCGTCATGGTACACCATACCAGAGGCTGGCTCTCGGCTCCCTTCCCGGGACCCGTTCACCCTCCCTATCCTTCGAAACCCGTGCCTCCACCCTCCGTGCTCTCTGTTCACTAATTGCACATTCTTCGCATAGTTTCGCCACCCTCCGCCCGTGGCAACCCCTATCCACGGGAAGGACGAACGACGGAAGGGGTATCGTGAGCCCTCGACACACGACCACCCTTCTCCTCCGCACCCTTTGCCCTCGGTACCCTGTCTCTATCTTTCTCACGCTTTCCTTCTTGCTTTGCTACCCTCGTATGTTCATACTATCCGCTGCTGGATGCGGCGAAAAACATGCCACGTTAGGCTGATTCCTCGTTAGAAATTGGAAAATCGAAATGGTGAAATAAAATAAGTAAACGTAAAAAAAGAAGAAAATTCTAAAAGTGAAAAGGAGTAAATATTGAAGTTATTTAAATAAATTCTTTTATTAGCAACGAGTAAAAAAAGGTATAGAATTTCTACTAAAACGCGGAGAGAGTGTGCCGTGAAAAAGCTGGAAAACAGTAGAGAAATCAATTTATCACGCTGCAAACGATATAATTCCATTCCTATAAAAAACGAATTTTACGTTCGAATTGTCACTGAATTATCTGGCTTTGTTTTAATAATCTTTTTTCAAATAGTTAGTCCCATTTTCGTTGAAAATTTGAAAGGGTAAATTCAGTTTGAGATCTGAAAGAAGAAAGTGGTGAAAATTTCATCAAGTAGCCACCGTTTATCAAGGAACATTGTCAGTTTAATCCAGGAAAACAGCGAAGGTTCCGAGTCGGTGATCAGAAATTGAATGGAGGGTGGTGAAAAGGTGAAGGCGGGCCGGATAAGTTGTGGCTGTAACCGGAAAATAAATTTTCTATCGGTAAAGCTTGCTCACGCGAGGGTAGACACGTTTTCTTCTCATGAAATCTGCACGCAATTCTCCAAAATTTCATACAAAAATTTGGTAGAGATGAACGTTTCTTTTTTTTCCAATCGCTCTGGAATAATCATTTATTCTCTTTCCATTACATTTTCACCCTGTCTTTTTTCCCATGGACATAAACGACGATACGAATGTACCGAGACTCAGGAGGGCACTCGTGATTTCCGGGAAACGTGAACTCACTGAGTTAGCGGTGTAAAAGTATGGGGGTTGTTCGAACGAGAGTGGCAGAGAAGGAAGGGTAGGAGGAGTATTAGCAAGGGTTGGGAGAAAAGCAGAAGGACACTAAGAAAAATATACAAGGTAACACAGGGTACTTTTGCAAGTAGAACCACCCTTCAACCAATAATATTACCTTCAACTTTTAAACAGAATGTTATATTCAGAAATAATGAAATATTTAATTTCAAAGTTAATACCCTGTACATCGACTACTGTAAGGTTTGTATCGAATGAATTGAGTAATTGGATTGCTGGAAAATTTGCAAGAGATACCATTGAATGTTTCGCGTTACCTTCTCGTGTGTGTTTTTTCCTCGAGTTTTCCCCTTCCAAAATCTGCAGAATGATGCAAGAGATTTGAGTAAGACGGCTCGTAAAAGGTGGTCGTAAAATGAAAAGGGATTAAAGGCAGCGTAGCCGGGTGAAGCGAAGGTAAAGGAAGGGCGAAAACCAACCAGTGTATATCCACGGATTTACGAGGACGATAAACGGAATTATACGCCTTCCGTAAACCTTGAAACGATCTTTCGAGTAAGCGCATAGTTTGCACAAGACTGCTATGTTCCCTCCACCTTCTATCGCCTTTGATTCCCTTTCAAACGTTTCTCTCGAACGTCATTTTTTTCTTCTTTCACTTTGCTTTTCACCCTCAACATCTGATTTCTTTCATCAATTTTCTTTTCAAGACCCGACGTTCGCGTGCTTGATTATCTGCTATTTCGTTTTTGCATTTATTTCAAAATACCAGCAGACTGGATGAAGGATAAAAATACAGTGGGGATGCTTTTCTTGGAATTGTTAGTAATTTGAAAATTTTTAATCTACAGCTATGTAAAAGGAAA